TTATGTAAGAAAGGACTTCAAACAATTTAACTTTTAAAACTTCCTCTTTATGATTAAGATGACTTACTGTTGAGTAACAAGCAAAAAAATGGTTCTGTCTTACTGTCATTAGGCAGAATTGTATGCATCAATTTAACAAGAAGTTTAAATCGTTCATATACATAACTAGTAATGCTTCGTCAACAGCTATGTCAAAATGGGAAAAATATGGTTGCTCATATGAACGATAAAAAATTGAAATTGATGTTTAATTCACAAATCAGATCTTGGTTATAAAGGTTTTTAAATTAATCAGTATTTTGTTGAGTTTTAAGTGAGTATAACATTTTTTTCAATAAGAAAATAACATCATAAAAATCGGTTAACAAGTCAATCCAATCATCGAGTCTTTACAACCCGAGCAAAAATGAAGACAAAAACTACTCCTTGTTATATGTGGTCTTAATCAAATATCGAGAGTAACTTTAAGGCAAAAAATCTTTAAATTATTACTATTATTATGATATAGTCTTTTTTGCTTAAGCTTGTGCTAGGGGGGCGTAGACTGCAGCATCCATTTAATAGTATTGTCTGTGAACAGGCTTTATGTAAGTAAGCCTGCATTATTATCAAAATACGGGATTCCTTTGTTTCCTTCGATCATATAAACCACGTCAGTAACATTTGCAAACAAATAAAAGACAAGGAGGAAGAGGGAAATAAAACACTTAAATGTACAATCGTATACAAATCATCCATTCAGTACAAATATAGCCCGTAAAGTTCGAGTGTACTTAATGTTTCACTCGTCAGGACGACTGAAGAGTTTTGGGCTGTTTCAGTTTGAAAACTGTAACCAACGATGTCCTCATGTTTTGTCAAATAAATATCATTTGAAATTTTTTGTACTCTGTATTTCTTTAAGGTCTTTGAAATGCATAACATTAGTCATATGATTATAACCCAAGAGAGTTATCATATTGAAAGTTAAACAAAAATTGTTACTGATAACTTTTTGTTACATTTGAGTGTGTGTGAAAAGGGACAAGATTACATTCATAAAATCAACATAATATATAAATTGTGTTATTCTATATCTTAATTTAATTCATTTGCATTCCTATATAATTATGGTTTGCTCTGAACAAAGATTGTTTTTACAAACTACGTTCATAGCAGAAAATTGATTTTGTTTTGTTGCCTGTATATCAGCAGTGAGTACAGCTCGATTTCAATATAATTACACATGAATTAAAAGTTTTTGAGTTTTCACTTTATTCTTCATAAAGCTATGCTTTTCAGTTTGTTCTCTAATTTTATCACGATGTTTCTAGCGATAACAATTGTAACATTAGTATATATGTTTAACAAAGAGTTAATTGTTTCAAGTTATTATTATCTAATACTCTTATCGTTTAAATAGAGGATATTGAATGAGTGTAGGTTTAATACTAAATTTATCGAGCCTCTGGCGAGCATAATATTGTTTTATTCAACGAGTTCAATAAATTTAGAATTGAATCTACACGAATATAATATTCTATTTATCACATATATAAAATAAGAACGGTAAACTGTTATCAAGAGTCATTTTTCTTTGACGCGCCTATAGTGTAACGCTAACATTGGCGCGCTTTAACGCTATGTTTATAGCGTAAATGACGTGACGTCAAAGTGTTATTACACTAGTGTTATATCGTCTAGTGGTGTAATACCGTTTTTATTAAATGGCTTTATTACACTCCTGCGCCTCGGTTTATGTGATAAAGGTATATAAACAACATTATTATTAATTACAGTATGTTCAATGCTTGAGTGAACAATAACGTAACCTCTTGAAAAAAATGAGATTTATTTAAGCGAATTGGTTTAAATATTGCACATTTTCAATAAGTATTTCAAATATTGATAAAAAAATATATAGAAGTGTATCATTTGAATATAAGAAATAATAAAGTACCATTAAAGTGATTTGTTATGGACATTTTGTGGTGAATAATAAATTTGTTATAGAACAATTTATTAACTGCTATATAAATATATACTTAATATCTGATCATACTTCTTTCATTTGCTAACAACATACAAGTATAATTACTTCGACTAAAGATTATTTTATGATAACCTAAATTATTAGTATAAAATAAATAATGTAAGTAATTAGTAATCGTCTTTCCATCTAGAGTAGATGAACGCCAATGTTAAAACGACTTACACCATGTTTTCACTACATGTATTATAACACTTCCTTTATACCATTAGATTAGCTATGATATATATTATTATTATATATTATAATCCGGAGTTTGTCCATCAAATATTTGTATTAGCTGATGGCTATATGAATTAATAATAAGAGAGTATCAAATATGATTTATCATATACTAGTATGCATTAATTCATATTTAATAATACGATGGAACGTCAGAAAATATCCAGACTTTTCATGCTCCTCTCTTTCCACGTGCTGCTATATACACACATTGTATATTGGTGAAAACTACATTCATTCGCCAATAACGTGGTCAGTTTTTTTCAATGATAGTTGTGTATACACAGTATTTTGCCCTCTGATATACGATAGGTGTTTCGTCTATCATGGACTCTTTGTAAGAGGAACAACGCTCTGTAATGAAAATACTTGGTTGCAGAAGGTGAAAAGCCCTGCCAAATCTTTCAGAGGCTTAAAAAAAGATTTTCTGATAAATGGGTATCACGTTCAACCTTTTACAAGTGGGTTTCTCAGTTTCGTGAAGGCAGAAAAAGTGTTTGTGACAGGCCTAGGACTGGACAGCCAGCTGAGGTGGTGACCCCAACAATGGTAGCAATTGTTAAAGCTTTTGTCAACAAAATTCGTCGAGTATTTTTGGAAGAGGTAGCCAACAAGTTTAGCATTGGTAAGGCATCGGCACACAAGTTTTACACGAACACCTAGGCATGAGCAAGTTAAGTGCCAGGTGTGTGCCTAGACAGCTGTCAGCAGATCAAAAGGGAACCAGAGTAACCAATGCAAAAGAACATTCAAGTCATTTTAATCGTGAAGGAGATAAGTTGTTGAACCGCATTATCACTGGAGATGAGATGTAGGTTCATTATTCCGAACATGGGACAAAAGCTCAGTCAAAGCAGTGGAAACGAGCTGGTTCCCCACCTCCTTAAAAGTTTAAGCTATCTCCTTCGGCTGGCAAAGTCATGCTTGTTGCCTTTTGGGATTCACGAGGAATGATACTTACGCATTTCATGCCAAAAGGTCAAACTGTCACCGCCAAGTACTATTCTGAAGTAATTATGAAAAATCTCAGAGAAAAGCTGAAGCAAATGCGTCCCAGGTTAGCACAGAAAAATTCCCTCCTCACGATAACGCCCCCTCCGCCGCAGCTACAGTGGAGGTTAACAACTCTTACAAATGGCAATTTTTGTCTCACCCTCCTTATAGCCCAGACCTCGCCCCCTTTGACTTTTATTCGATTCCAGAACTGAAAACATCGCTGGCTTGAAAGAAATATAAGACCAGGGCGGCTTTGATATCTGCTGTTACACAGTACCTAAAACATAGGTAAACGTCATGGTTCACAGCGGGAATACAAAAAGCTCCCATGAAGATGGCAAAAGTGCGTAGACGTAGGTGGAGAATATTTTGAAAAAGAGTAGAAAGATTTTTTTTAAATATTGAATGGTTTTCGAGAACGAGTCAAAAGTCCGGATATTTTCTGACTTCCCCTCGTAAATATCTCTGCTTCATCAAACTTATATATTATACACTAATTATATGTGTATTACAAGAACGTGTATTTCAATAATTAAATCAGCTTTAAAACATGATTATGAAACATAACTCTTTAAAATATCAGTATTTTAACACATCTTTTTCAAATATCATTAAGTATTTAGGATAGAAAACCGTTTAAGCCAGTGCTATGGGATGTGAGAAATTGTGCACTTCTCCATTATCCCTTGTGAACCGAACCATTTTGTGTAATTTAGTTGTTTACAATACTTCCGAGGTATCCCCACTTTCCTAGTTATTTTTATAATATCAACTCGTCGTAGTAAGGTAGGGTTTAAAATTGTCTTTATTGGTTGAATTTGTAACAAAAGTTTCACACTATTACTTATAATCATCTTCCTGCCTGTTACATCTATTGTGTATGGGATTAATGTAGACAGGAGGCAAGTTTTATTTTTATGTTTTTTAACTTCTATTCTCTATTTCTATTGTTTTAACGTCTTATGTTTGTTTGACATTTTAAAGGACACATTTAGTATAGAAATTATCATTTAACAGAATAACAGATTTTTCCAGATGTGAAGTTGAAATAATTGCCAGATAAAAAAACTTTGTATTTAATCATTTTCTGTAATGTTTTTTTTTTCTGATGAATGTTATTTTTAGATAACTCTTAAAATTATATTTTGACCATTTAATATATTGACCATTATCTCAGATGTTTATGACAATTTGTATCCTTATATGGTTATAACAAAACGGCGGTTATAAAATATATTTTAAAAAATAAATTAAATACAGAAAGTGATCAAATACAAAAACACAATTTTTATAATTCTTTACTGAATGTGTCATTTAAAATGTCAACACGAAGTCAATTTAACCGGATGTTCAAATTGCTATTAATTTTGATGTTAAAGGGTATTTATAAAAAAAGATATGAGTCATTAAAAAGACATTTGTTGTGATATGATAGTCACGCAAAGGTTTTAAAATAACAATTGATCTGTATTGTAATGTTCGCAATATCAGCATCCTATATGTTATTAAAGAGATTTATTTGTTACTTAGGATATGAACGATAACATAGCAATACATGCCCTTTACCGAAGTAAAAAAAACCTTTATCGAGATAATTAACTCAAAACTGAATATTGCAAGAAATGTAAAATAATTGTGTGTGTGTCTTTTGTTTTGTTTTTTCATTTCAATTATTAATTCAATGTATTACAAGTCAGTCCTCGAACATTTAAATTTTTTGTATTGTTTTATTGTTTATTTATTTTTGTTCTTCAGAATACTAAAGCATGTATTATTTGAGGTGATAACCGTCTGTGAAATTGTTTACGCTTTTGAGGGAAATTTTGAAAATGCGGTGTTGCCAAGTTCAAAGGAAGAGGATAGAACTGTCTGTAACTGGTGGGTTTTCTTTTGATGTATTAAATTTTGCCTATTTCATTCTTATCTTATGTAATAAGGCTTTTGGTTTGACGTATGAAAAGGATTGGAATGAAGTGGAGTTATACAATGCTTATAGTGAAAAAAGTTTTTTTTAAAGGAATTGTTTTTAGATTTAATCTTTTTCAAACGTGAAGCAAACCTTTTCATAAAAGACATAAATTATAAATAGACAATTGTCATGTTGTTTGTATTGATGAAAATGGTTTTAGGGTGTATCGTCAGTAGGATACAATAGATAGTCATGTAACAATTATCAGACCTAACATCTTTTAACAAAAATGTACGGCTTTGTTTTTGCAGGTTGCATATTGCTGGTGGTATTATCTGTCATCAGTGGAACAGGTACGTTTGTTGTCGTTTTGTTCGTTATCATAATTATCTTATTTCTTTGATCACGAAGTTATTATATACTTTATTGCAAATGAAACGCTTATACGTTTGTTTTCATCCTAGAGTAACTTGACTTTGCACATTATTTTATTTATTTAGAACTTTTTTGTCCCCGAAAAACTCATTGGATTTTACAATGAAAAATGATATATACTCTATATACTCTTTTAAAAACACATTTCGTAATTACCTGTTATAATAATAAATTCAAATCTTATTTATTAAAAGCTTTGATTTCAGCAGGTACTAGTATTCAAATCTATATTGCTTGTTGAATGGAAACACATAGAAGTATCGTTACAAATATTCTTTATAATTACTGTAAAGAAGCACTTTATTGTGCTTACTTATCGTCATTTTCTTTTCAGATTCTTTAGAATGTAACAGCTGCTCCAAAGTTGTTAGTTTGCAAGAATGTAAAAATGTAGAAACATGCCAAGAGGGGCAGGTAAAATACTACGTGATGTTTTTATAAGTGTTTACTACATTGCTCCTGAATACCTGACATAACTGTATATTTAAAACATGAAGAGTTATAAATAAATGTTTGTAAAACAAATATCGTTGCCTTTTTGTAATAAAATAACTGTTCAAATCATACAACAGACTTAAGATAAAACTAACTGTTTATGAGCTAAAAAGAAACAAAAAAAATTTAAAAGTCAAATTATTTTTCAAACCATTGATTGGTTTAAACTCCATTCGTTGCTTTCGTAAGAGAAGAAAAGTATTTCTATCAGATTCTATACATTTGATAGTGTTATGTTTAAATATTCGGTTTGTCTTGATTTGTTTCCCTCCTTTATAATAGGTTTGCTTCAAAGAGCGAGCTGTTTCAAAACAAGTTCTGTTTAATTTGGGCTGTACGGACAAAAAGGTGATGTAGAAAAGTTGAACTTTATTTATAGTCCAATTGTTTGTTGTTAGAATGATAAAATTATAATATATTTTAAACTCATAACAGAAAGCGCTTCGTTTTTCTATTAACAGACGAAGTCTCATGATAAGACATGTTCATATGACATGTTTCTTGTAAAATAACACAGACATGCAATTAATTGACATACTGAATTACTATAAATCCTTATATACAGGAACTAAACAATTGTAAAGATATAATCCTTGAAGATTAAAGCATGTCATCCTAATATACTTTTATTGTTATTTTATTTTGTTCAAATGTGTATATTTGAAACACTGTCTGTATCTGTTTGGGTATGCCAGACATGTGGTGAATTCGCAGATTACCAAAATAGCTCAGTCAATGCAAAGATGAGTGCCGAGCAGACACGATATTGCTATGAATGTTGTTCGAAAGACAGATGCAACAAAGATCTCTGTGAATATCCTCCACGTAAGAGTTAATCAAATTCTTTCGTTCTTAGAAATACTAGGTTTTGTTTTAAACACTTATATCATAATTCAAATAGATTAAGGACACGGTGGATGCTTAGGGTTATCATTTGTATGTCAATTAATATGTATGTCATTATATATATATCGCATACAATACAAATATATCTCAATAAATCAGTTGAATAGATGTTTTACAGAACTGGGCAAATGTGGGGTTTTACCAGATATTCCATAGGTACAAACCCATTTTACTGTTATAGCTTCACGGGACACTACCGTCACAATAGATAAAAAATAGTAAATTTTGTTGCCCTTACTTTCAAAGCTGTGTTTATAAAAGTTTATTTAGACCTACGGATTAGCTTGGAAAAGCACAAATATTCTTAATGAATGCCATCTAGCCGGCTTTCTTTGATCATTTAAGAGAAATAACTATTTTTTCGCATAAAAGCGATGACAAGTCCAACATATTTTCCTTATCAAAGCAGAGAGATGAATAGAAATTAGGCATAATGTCCGAAATCAATTATAAACATAGAACATTTCTCATGTAATTATGCAATCAAACTGTTTCAGACTCGTTGTGTAAAGACGACGAATCGATTGACTGTGCTAAATGGAATTCTATGTTTAGCATATGTAAGATTACAAGTGAAGCAAAGAAAATTTGCCCCAGATATTGTGACCTTTGTCAACTTGGTTTGTAATTACACTATCATTTATTATCTTATAATTCTATAATGCATGTATCGTTTAATTTCATAAGATTGTGATTTGTACTATATTATTAATACCCTTGCAATTGGAGAGATAAAATTAAAATCAGTTATAAATTATGCGTGTAATCTAAAAAAAATTAACAGAATGATTCATAACTTTGTAAAATGTCGTAGTTTGAAAGAAAGGTTTGATAGATCTAAGTGCATAAATAGGATTAATCCAAATTCAATTAAAACTTTTCTTACAAAAATCAATATATTAAATAACAAATTGGATTTTTGTCAATCCACTTTTATGTTATTCTTATTAAAGTTGGTTGAATAGTTACATTTGTTGAATTGCAGTGGATGGAAGTTGGTCTCCTTGGTCCCCGTGGTCCTCTTGCGATGTCACTTGTGGTGAAGGATCACTAGAACGTCATCGTACATGCACAAATCCAGCGCCACAAAATGGTGGTCTTTATTGTCAAGGAAAAGGGTCCGAAAGAAAGACTTGTAAACTGCAGTTATGTCCAGGTAATTTTGTGTATGTTTGTTTTTTATCCTCAAAATTATTAATACGTGTCAATATGTAAAACGAGGTGAGATAGATGTCTTTTTGTGTGTGTGTGACAGAAAAACAAGAATAATTTATGAAGACAATATTTTTAATTTCAATACTGGGTGTAGTAATATGTCATCAACACAATCTCATCGTAGAGCTCAGTATTATAAACCCCGATTGACAAATATAATACTATCTTCTTGTTAGTTCACGGTGGATGGAGTTCATGGAATGATTGGGGAAAGTGTTCAGGTACGTGCGGTGTTGGAATGCGAAGTCGAACACGGTCTTGTACGAGTCCTACTCCAGAGCGTTTTGGAGATCACTGTTTTGGTGACAGTACTGCATATGAATTGTGCAATGGTGAATCTTGTGCAGGTAAAAGAATTAACGGCCTCTTGAATGTTCCTGTACATTGTGACAGACTTTCGCCATAAGACTTTGATTTGTACCACTGAGCATACAAGTGTAGTTCAAAAGTCAATAAAATACTCATGACTGTATCATCAACTTTTTCTACAAACATAACATTTCACTAGCATATTTAATTTGGTTTCTGCTTACCACAACTTGTGCGCTGGGTTTTTTCTTTTTGTGCCCCCACGTTAGTGGCGGGCATTTAGATTTACCCTTGTCCGTCCGTCCGTCCGTCCGTCCTTCCGTCCGTCCTTCCGTCCGTCCGTCCGTCCGTTCACTTTTGTGTCGCACGTAACTCAAAAAGTATTTGACCTAGAGTCATGAAACTTTACAGGAATGTTGATCAGCATGTGTAGTTGTGCACCTGGGTATTTTCGTGTGGATATTTTTAGTATTTTTAGAGTTATTGCCCTCGACTTAGTAAAATTTTGCAATTTTCAACTTGTGTCGCATGTAACTCAAAAAGTATTTGACCTAGAGTCATGAAACTTTACAGGAATGTTGATCAGCATGTGTAGTTGTGCACCTGGGTATTTTCGTGTGGATATTTTTAGTATTTTCAGAGTTATTGCCCTTGACTTAGTAAAATTTTGCAATTTTCAACTTGTGTCGCATGTAACTCAAAAAGTATTTGACCTAGAGTCATGTAACTTTACAGGAATGTTGATCAGCATGTGTAGCTGTGCACCTTGGTATTTTCGTGTGGATATTTTTAGTATTTCAGAGTTATTGCCCTTGACTTAGTAAAATTTTGCAATTTTCAACTTGTGTCGCACGTAACTCAAAAAGTATTTGACCTAGAGTCATGAAACTTTACAGGAATGTTGATCAGCATGTGTAGTTGTGCACCTGGGTATTTTCGTGTGGATATTTTTAGTATTTTCAGAGTTATTGCCCTTGACTTAGTAAAATTTTGCAATTTTCAACTTGTGTCGCATGTAACTCAAAAAGTATTTGACCTAGAGTCATGAAACTTTACAGGAATGTTGATCAGCATGTGTAGTTGTGCACCTGGGTATTTTCGTGTGGATATTTTTAGTATTTTCAGAGTTATTGCCCTTGACTTAGTAAAATCTTGCAATTTTCAACTTGTGTCGCATGTAACTCAAAAAGTATTTGACCTAGAGTCATGTAACTTTACAGGAATGTTGATCAGCATGTGTAGTTGTGCACCTGGGTATTTTCGTGTGGATATTTTTAGTATTTTTAGAGTTATTGCCCTCGACTTAGTAAAATTTTGCAATTTTCAACTTGTGTCGCATGTAACTCAAAAAGTATTTGACCTAGAGTCATGAAACTTTACAGGAATGTTGATCAGCATGTGTAGTTGTGCACCTGGGTATTTTCGTGTGGATATTTTTAGTATTTTCAGAGTTATTGCCCTTGACTTAGTAAAATTTTGCAATTTTCAACTTGTGTCGCATGTAACTCAAAAAGTATTTGACCTAGAGTCATGAAACTTTACAGGAATGTTGATCAGCATGTGTAGTTGTGCACCTGGGTATTTTCGTGTGGATATTTTTTAGTATTTTCAGAGTTATTGCCCTTGACTTAGTAAAATTTTGCAATTTTCAACTTGTGTCGCATGTAACTCAAAAAGTATTTGACCTAGAGTCATGAAACTTTACAGGAATGTTGATCAGCATGTGTAGTTGTGCACCTGGGTATTTTCGTGTGGATATTTTTAGTATTTTCAGAGTTATTGCCCTTGACTTAGTAAAATTTTGCAATTTTCAACTTGTGTCGCATGTAACTCAAAAAGTATTTGACCTAGAGTCATGTAACATTACAGGAATGTTGATCAGCATGTGTAGTTGTGCACCTGGGTATTTTTGTCTAGATATTTTTAGTATTTTCAGATTTATTGCCCTTGACTTAAAATTTTTTTGCAATTTTCAACATGTGTCGCAAAAAGTATTTCACCTATCTAGAGTCATGTAACTTTACAGGAATATTGATCAGCATGTGCAGTTATGCACCAGGTATTTTCTTCTGGATTTATTTAGTATTTTTAGAGTTATTGCCCTTCACTTAGAAAATTTTTGTAATTTTCAACTTGTGTCGCAAGTTACTCAAAAAGTATTTGACATAGTCATTAAACCTTATGGGTAGGTTGCTCAGCATATTTAGATTTGCACCTGGGGTTTCGCTTGTGAATTTATCCAGTATTTGTAGAGTTATTTCCCTTGACTTAGTAAAAAGATTGAGAGAACAGTGGCGCGGTGGGGGCACCCGTGTCCTATGGACACATTTCTAGTTTTAATTATCTTCAACGTTTTATTTCACGGTATTTGATGCATAGCATTGATCTTCTAATGTTTAATAGCTATATATTTGTAATTGTTGTTGTTTCCTTTTTTTGTCTTTTGTGAACAGTTAATGGCGGATGGAGTGACTGGTCAGACTGGGGACAATGTTCAGTTTCTTGTGGTGTTGGACTTCAAAGTCGGACACGTTCTTGTACTAACCCAACACCAGAGAATTCTGGTCAACTCTGCATTGGGCAAAACATAGAAAGCAAAGTATGTCACTCAGAATTCTGTTCTGGTAGGTATCTTAATTTAAAGTTCATGAAATCAGTTACATGTTGTACACATTTGTCTTTATTTAAGAACAAACGAGCTAAAAATGCAATAATTAATAAATACTTCTTTGCCAGGTCCTTTGAAGGTAGTGATTAGCAATGTAATGAAATTGGTCTTGTAATAGTTAATGTATTAGTCTCATAATTTATTCGTTTATATCCTTGAACGATCATTTTTAAAAAGATAGCAGCATAAAACATAGGCAGAATCTAATGTCTGAGTTGTTAAAGATAACAAGTAGATGTTGTTAAAAACAAGCATTATCTTTGAACTTCTAAATGCCCTTACCAATAGTCATTTGAAAGTCCACAGTTATTGAACACGCATCATATTATAATATTATTCAAAAACTCGCAGTGTTAAGTTGCAGGTACCCCCAACTTACGTTAATAAAATGTAATATATCATTAAATCAGATTGCTTTGATATAAGAAGCAATAGAGCAAGACAAATAAGTGGTATATTTAATGTGACATTGTGGAAAACAAACCAAACAATACCGGTGCTCTGTGATTTTGATACAGACGGTGGTGGATGGACAGTACGTATCGTTTTTATCCAACATTTTGTAGACTTACTCATATCAAAATCATGTGTAAATGGATAGTTTATTCATGGACAAACATTAGAACATTCTTTTTTTCGATAATAAGAAGTATATTTTTCCGAGAAAACTAAAAATGTTTATGCTTCAAAAAGTGTTAAGTATTACGACTACGTCATTGCACGGTGTAGTTGCTATCCTCGTTTAGCCAAAAGTAAACGTGCAGCAACGAACTATCGATTTTGTCGCAGCACTATATATCATGTTTATTAAAAAAAATGGTGTAAAAAGCGTGTGTTTTCAGTTTGTAGGCATGCTAATTGATATGCATATAGACAGAATGAACACTGCATATCAATATTATTTATTGACACTTTATGTGACCTAAGAATGTGACAGCAGACGCATTTCAAACTCAAACAGCTTTCAAGTAATTTGTCTGTTTTTTCAATTGTAAATTGATATTGATTAATAAGTTAATATTGAAGTTAAAGCAACAAAGCACTACCTTTAAGATATTTGACATATCTGACCCGTTTTTCTGAATCCGATGAACCCAGCATTTTTTTCGGTTTCAACAAAGTCGAGACATACCTGCTTTAATTAACCATATTTTTTATTTGCATTATGCTATTCCTTGCTTATGTTTTATGTTGTTTCAAAACTATGGTCCTTTTTTACAACTTCTTCGACAATAAAATAATTACTGTTTAGCTAAATTAATGAATAACAGTTTGTTGGTGTTTTTCCGTACAACTGATACTTTTATTTATATTGGAATATTTGTTTAGTATATGATAACATAAAGCAAAGTCATACAAAGGGTTTGTCATATGTATTTAGCAGTTATATGCTTTTGAAATACCGTGCAATAACGCAAGCACCAATTACTCGGACAGATAATGACTCACAACATAAAATGTTGTTTATTTTATAATTTGCTTAAATCACGCAAAGTTGATGTGATTTCTCTGGCACAGTTTTCATTCAACACTCTTATAACACTCTTATAACAAATGTATATGCTACGATATCATACGCCATTATGGCAAAATATCGAAAATCCATCAGATGATGCAAAACAGGTAAAGCTATGTAAAATATAAATAATATTTTATTCTCATGACACAGGTTTTTCAGTATCGATTTAACGGAAGTGTAAATTTTAAAAGAAACATTTCGGACTACGAAAATGGATTTGGGTCTCCTAATGGCGAATTTTGGTTAGGTAAGACATGTCGTATTTGTTTAACGGTTTCTGTTTTAAGGGACATTTAAAGATTGTACCGTTGAATATCGTTTACGTCTATCATTCTTTTTTGTCAAGCATTAGTTTAAAAATCACTTTAACTATAATGAAAAACTTGCTCTATCTAACCTAACTTGTATTGCAGTTAATATTTAGAATGTGAACTTTTATTTTTTTTACGACAGGTCTTAAGTATATCTTCGAGATGGTATCACAAGGAAAAACGGAGTTAAGACTGGACCTGAAAGCGGCTGACGGAACATATTTCCACGAAGTTTTCCAGAACTTTCATCTTGGTAGCAGTCCAAATTATACACTTCACATTGATGAGAAAAGTGGTCATTCAGGTATTTATGATAATAATGTATTTATACATTTAACATTACTGGATCCCGGTCGTCTATCTTTACATTTTAACGTTTGTTAGATTGCTAAAATATGTCCCCATAAATATTTCGAAAACACGTTTTTTTGGAAACACGTTGTTTTTGCCTTCGCCGTTTGACTGTCCGCCAGTCCGGTTGTCCGTCTGTCCGTCCGCATTCAGCTTGTCCGGCTTTCACGGGTCAAACTGCTGGCGGAGTTTCAATGAAACTTTACAGAAGTGATCAGTACAATCCCTAGTTTTAAATTTCGCCGGCGCGTCCCGCTCTGCTGCACAAAATAGCCACAAAAGCTATAAATATAATTTTATTTGTCCATAAAGGACACGAGTATAGTCTTGTATTACCTATTGATATTGTAAACGAACAAAACCGTTCGTTATTGAAAAATATATCATATTTAATGTTACTTTTTAATACTTATTTTGATGTTGTATCAAAATTTGCTACAGTCATAATGTCATAACTAGCTTTGAAATTTTACAACGAAAATGTAGAAATTACCAGAAATATTTTGTTAAAGACGTAGTTGATAAATCTATTTAGCGTTGCTTTCTTATCATTATGTTAGAATGCTTTTCCTATTTTATGGGCCTCATTAAAAGGGATATAAAGAAACGAAAGAAATCATTCAGATGCATGTTTGTTTTTTGATACCAAACATTATATGTTATATATATTCAATAGATTCCCACCAATATTTATTAGACATATATTATCCAGTAGATACTATAAAAGAAAAAAGTATAAAATAAATCGCTCATTTCTACCCCCTTTCGGACTTTATTGATCGTTACGTTCAGAACGGTCAATATGTAGAAAATGAAGATCGTGAATAAAACTTAAATGTCATTTGTTTGTTAGCCACACCAGCTACACTAAAAATGTTCGTTATATGTCCGGTTGATAGTTGAATCCAGAAAACGTTCAGTAAATTCTCGATGTCATCTTGTTTTGAAGTATTAAATAATAATTATTATAAACAAATAAATTGATATCATAAATATTAATGAAATAAAACGCGTATTTTCAATATTAGTATTTAAATGGTGTCTTGCAGGAGTACTTTCTTCTGAATTCAACAAATACACTTAGAGGTTTCTTTTCATCTTATTGTATGAAAATTATAATTAAATTTTACTTGAGACTACCGCCATCTTGAAACATTTATTTTCTTACCACTCAATGAAATTAAATATTGTATTTATAGAAAAAAAACTTGAATATCCTCTACCTGTTCGGTAAAGATATTTTGTGTCATGAGTACTTTTTTTCGTGCTAACAAGATGTTCAGCTATATATTTGCAAGCCATATTTGTGGATTCTGATATTTTGGGCGCTATAAACTGTACAAATTTCATGAATCACATATTAAACATTAATCGGCTTCTCTACAACACGTCTTTATTTAACTATTCCTCCCTCACTCTAGGATAACAAACAATAAGTATATTACGATACCAGAAAGGTTAAATTCATTTTGATTTCATTTGTATGTTTTCAGGTCCAAATGGCTTACCTGATAATAATGGTGGACCTTTTTCAACATACGATTCTGATAGATTTATCACTGGAAGATATGTCAACATAAAATTTCGTAGCGGTTGGTGGTATTAAGGAGATTCTAACTCAAAATCCAATCTTAACGGTGAATATGTTACTCCTGGCAAAAAACGATATATCGATTCTTCAACAAGTGCTGGCATGATTTACACCTCATTTAGAAGCAGAGAATCCCTTAAAATGTCTAGAATGATGTTTCGACGAATGTGAAGTACAATCAAATTTTAAATAGAAGCATATTTTAGTATAACATAGCGTGAATGTATTGCTGACATAAATATATCAAACAAATGACACTAAGTCGTACAATGCAAATATAACAATTCGTTTTTATCTATAATTGCATTAATCATCATGTATGAAACAGCACGTTTTCAATGTTTGGTTTCAAGACACGTCATGATACTTCCTCATAATATGGCAAGTTTAGAAGGTTTCCTGCGGTAATTTAAAGATACAAATTTGTATTTCATTTAACTGTTCATAATTCTTTGGGGGAAAACAACATCGAAAATATCGAGAAGATAGTATCAGTAGAAGGTCTCACCCCAGTGAATTTTCGTACTCTTTGTTCTATAGTTAATCAGTCACATTTGAGGCTTAAGTCTGGATTCCTCTGTTCTTGGGTGAATTATATACTGTCTTCAACTTTAAACATCAACACTATCTAAGTCAAATGAGGCCCGGAATATTATATGGTAGCCACTACTTTTTTCAGAAATCTTTATTCTATTGTAACACGGTTTTATTTTACCGCTTTAAAAACTCCTTGCTGCAGGATGGTAGGACATCCTTAATCCTTCCGCTAACAAATGAGTTCCTGCAGAATATACAAAAACAACTTTTCTTAAGTCATAATATAGCACAAAAAAAACTACACCAATGCAAAAAATGCACTTTAAGTGTGACCATTCAAACTGAAGATGACTTAAACCGGGCGTCTTCAAAATAAAAAAGGAATTTCTTTCTGGACAACAGCGGGTTGGGTCTAATTCCGTACCGGGTTGAGATCAGAAGAAAGTCTTATTAGACCGGTGACCGTCGCAGACTGGAAAGAGTCGATTAACAGGACACCCGTCTGTATCATCTAGGCGTTTGAGCTTCCTCTTGCAAACGGTTTGATGATGCAGACTACAACACTATTTTCATATTTACATTTAAAGGGACACAAAGGCAAAATATTCATTTGTTCATTTTGATTTTTACATTAATTGTTCTGTTAATTTCCTCAAAATGAATACGCTAGACAGTCACAAGAACAAAACTTTTATCCTTATAAAGTATAAAATTGTTTCCTAACTTGACCCGTCAGGTTAGAGCGTTAAGATTTCACAAAAGTTGTCACAGTGATCTCTGAAAACGTTAAAGAACATGCCAAATGAACGATTTAGACTTGTTTCAATCATACAATATCCCAAATATATGTTATTGTAACTTCCAGGGTTTGTTCAAGTCACATGACTTGTTTTAAAAGTTACTCCATGATTCTGTTGGCGTCTAAATTTAGTTCAAAATATATACATATATATTACGCTTCAAACCCAAAATATATAAAAATGTATACAGAAATTCATGCTGGGACTTTAAAAATGTAATTTTATTGCGATTTGAGTACATAAGATCATTTTAATATTTTGTCATCAATTTGCCTGAGTTTCCCTTTAATACTTTTTGTTTTTTAACTACACTTAAAATAGTCTTTCATATACTCATTGAAACAATCATATGTGCATAAAGTATAGATTTTATTAATTTACTTAAAACAAATTAACAATCAAGTGCGGTTTACAGATCACGTGCTCCTCCATTTACTGGCAACAGGTCACGTGTTCTTCTATGCGGAATACCAAGACCCTGCGGTCTCAAGCCTGCAGGGTGTAACAAAAGATGTCTTAAAGTGTTCTTTAAAGTCAAAAGGTTTTACATATTTTCAAAACTAATCAAAACTGTTGAATATTATTACATACATAAACGGAACTTAAGTCCATATGTATACCATTTAGAGTATATGTTTTCTTTGTTATGTGCATGTTGCAATATGATAAAAAAAGCCTACGCGCATAAATTTTGAAATTCACGCAGAGATCAAGTGAAGTACCAAAAATGAAAAAAACAAACTGCAAAAGATTAAAAAGAAATATATCTAGAATTGAATTAAGTGCTCAATAAAAAATGAATAATTTGGAAAATCAGGGGGGGGGGATTATCTGAAAATTCGCACAAAGGTTATTGGTCTCCGCCACATCAAACCTTTGAAAAATATTTGGAGTCCTGTCATGTTAAAAAAAACTCAATGGAGTCCTTTTATATGTTATTGTTATGTTATTAGAACATGTTTTCAAAGTTGCTAATTATCCGGTAGATTATATATCCGGTTCCATTTTGATATTATACACGGCGAAAGATTATAAAAATATAATCTGATTATTTCTTTGTATTTCCATTTCTTCAATTTGAATGGAATTTCTTTTTGTTAATGCATACACACCTCCATAAAACTATATGTAAAGTCTGATTTTTTAATTTTCTTGCAACTGATTCAGTCAATTTATTCGTGCATGGTGCTCAAACAAATTCCTCATATGAATTAGTTTGGACCAATTTTGTAGGAACTTCAAAAAGCGTCAATAGACACCGAGCAAAGTGTATTAGTTGTTGCTCTTTATTAAAACAATCGGTATACATAGATATACATAAAAATTACGATCTGGACTGGTCCAGTTTTCATCATATTTAATCATGCACTTTACCCAAAACTCACGTAGCTCTCCAACAGAAATATTCTTCTGCTTTTTTAAGTAGGCTTAACAAACAATTTTGAGTTCAAGAAAGTGTTCACAACATTTGCTAGAAATTTCATGCTTACCCTAAACGAGACCATTACCCAGTTTGTGCAAAAATACATGCTAGTATACAGCTAACTTTTTTTGAAAGTATCAACATTGTATATAGTTCTAATAAATTGGTGACATGTCAAACTAATAATATATGTAAGTTGCATAGCTTTGACAATGTATATATTCATTCATAATACTCCTTGTATTGTTTTGTATTGTACTTAAAATTAGAAATGAAAAAATCTAACCTTTATTATTGTTCGTTATTTCTGCAGAGCAGTAAAGACATTTTAACAAAATCTCAGACTCGCTTTTATTGAGTCCGTAAATAAGGCAATTACTCTATAATGTACCAAACAAATTATCCCAAAGGAATTCAATGGGATTTAGATAGGCCAGACATTAATGAATGCAGTGTTCCTAGCTGTATGGTGTGTGGCATTATCATGTTTAAATAGGTAATATTGGCAATAATTGATACAATGGAGTAACATAACTCGCAACAAATTCATTTCGGTAGCGATGGGCGCATCCCTTCGATAACGACGAGATTAGTGCAAAAGCTATATGCAACGCCTGCCTAGACCAAAGTTGAACACGATCTCGTGCAAGTACGCAGCAGTCGGCATAACGGTCATGTCTCATACCCGAAGCATGTCATCGGCTCAACGAATGGAAAACCTCGACTCGTCAGAGAAAAGAACGCTATTCCATTGTTGTCTAAGCAGCGTTGCTGTGTACGTGTCCAATAAATACGATTTACGCGACGATGTCGCCTCAAAACACAGCAAACATATCGATGCAGTTTGGACAGATATACGGTTTATATGTTTTGTTTGTTTGTTTGATTTTACGCCTTTTCTCAACAGTATTTCAGTCATATAGGCGGGTAGTTTCCTTACCATCGTTCCTGGAGAGTTACACCAGTACTAGACTACCTTTCTCCGCGCTAAACTACCAAAGCATCTCCCGGGGATCGAACCCATGCCAGAGAGATAACTGGATTAGAAGTCATCGATTCTAACCCCTCGACCACGGAGGCGGCCCGGTTTATATGTGTACCCTACAGACATAGCTACTGCTGCTAACACCCACGGTTTATATGTGTACCAGGGGTGTTAGCAGCAGTTGTTATGGTTGTAAGGAAGCGAGTGCGCAGTTGGGTGTTCCGAATATAGCGGTCTTGGGCACCCACGGACGTCCACTACGTGGTCGATCTTCTGTACATCCTGTTGCTTGAAAACGTTACCTAAGGTGTAGCACATCCAATATTCATTACGATGACATTCATCGTCATACCAGCATTAAGTATGCCAATGGCACGTTCATTTGTTATTTTGTTTTCTTTAAATATCAGTATATCTTCACTTAAAAATAGAGGACGATTCCTTTCCTTTCTTGTTCAGTATAGCTAGGGCTTTTTTAATTCTTTATGTTTGCAGATTTTTAGTGATGTCCTATTTAATAAATGATATTTAATCTGATCAAATTCGGACCCTATTTAAAAAATGTAATATCATTTGTATATAACTAAACTGTGTAAAATAGACATTTTAAATACAATTGCGACGGGTAAGACTGGATAACTGGCTGTTCACTTAAGTAGCTGTTCTATTAATGACTCCTAACCTTTACGATTTTCAACAAAAAAGGCCTTCATCAGGTTATTGTCGTTTTGAACAGGAAGATAAAGTTTCAATTGTTTCTTTCTACACCGCATAGTTTCTAAATATAAACGTCAAATGAGGTAAAGTATTTTATCAGTTGACAACGCAACTAAGAGTATGTTAAAGTATTTATATTTTTGTTCTTCCTATTTCTAACTAGTCTGCGCAAAATTGGACGACGGTAAGTTCATTTTGTAGATATTTCAATGAATTTGATTATATTCTATATGATTATTACTTTTTTCTTAAAAAGCTAGAATTGATTTTATAATAAAGTATATTACAATTAATCTCATTACACCATCTCATTGAAATTATTGTCAACACATATATGATTTGTTTTTAAATTGTTTCATTTTATTTATTTATTTATTCTTAATTTCTAAAGTTATGAAACAATTCTTTTTAAGATGAGAATTAAGTATCATTTATAATTGGTGGGTTATTTTCATTGCACATTATCTTTGATAAATCATTTCATTTTACCTCTTGACAGTGCCTCTAAATTTGTTTGAAAATTTGCATATTTTGAAATCTTTGAAACGATATCAAGTAGTCAAAGCAAAAACTTCCTTTGTGTGTGTGTTTTTTTTCTTCTTTTTTTCTACTTACTTTCACATGCATTTCATCGATATTGCATCTATATTTTCTTCTTTAAATTAAAGTTATTTAATTAATTCCATCTGTTGAAAATAAAATGACAGCAATTTAGATCTACAATTAAATTAAATGTACAATACAAGTAATCAATTCTTCACGTGCAAGATATACTGAAATCGCATACAATTGAAAAACTTCTTTTTTTAACAGTATATTTTTCTCTCTTTTTTATGCATTGCTTATCTTTTTCTGTTTTTTCTATATTTTACTTCTATTTATGTATATTAGACTGTTATTTCAAAACCGCAATACAGAGCTTCGACAAGGACAACTAATTCACGAGTGAGGAAAAATGTTGGTGCAATGTGAGTAGTTTTTATGGTTTTACGTTTTGGTAATAATACTGATTGATTCAATCATATTGTATAATAATGAAGTACTTTTTTATAATTATCAAAAGTTCATGTTACGGAGTATTTTAGACTGTCAAGCATTTGTTTTCACTTTATAAAACACCAGCCAGATATAAAACCATATCAGAACACAAGCACTTAAAATATTACGCACGTAGTTTATGGATAGTCAGTAAATTTCAGAGGTAAATAACGACATTACTAATGAAAAGAAATAATTGTTATTCTTTTTTTGTAGGTTAGAAAAATAATGTATTTTCACAAACTAACCACATTCTTTTGTGTTTTAGATTTTACATTGTTTCTTGTTTCATCTACAATCAGTGGTACAGGTATGTTAAAGCATTCATTAATTTCCTTAAAGTATTTTTTGTGTACATAATTTCCTTAGGACTCGTGAAAGTCCGGCATAATTCGCCCCTTTCCGTTAATTATATTCATTTGAAAGCAACCTGCTGATAAGATCGTCTTCATGTTACTCACATGAACAAACCGGACTGTTCAAAATAATATGAAAATTAGCTTTGTACTTGATAAAGCCTTAAGATTGTTTACAAAATATTTTATTTAATAATCAAACGCATTTTGTCATGATTTTAAAACTTCTGAATTGGTGTAAAAATAGCTTTAATACGTTTATGCATCATTGTTTAATAGTTAAGATTAAATTTTTTCCACATCTGCATTAATAATTATTCATATAATATATTTAAACATATTTTCAATTCCATAATGACATTTAGAATCATCATAATCATTATCATAATATATATTTTCAATTATATTTCAGCATCTCTTTCATGTTTCACGTGTTCTGATGCACTAAGCTTAAGAGAATGTATGTCCATTGAAACATGCTCTGAGGGAGAGGTACAATAACACTTTCAATAATTGAAGTCATCATATTTTTCGTCAATATTTGGTTAAAGAATTTTAAGATGTATCAGTTTCATTGTAAATTTTTTCAAATTATTTTAAAAAGTAAGATGATATTTATCACTGTTAAATCATAATAATATTTTTGAAATGTTAACTAAAGCGTCTTGCACATTTGCCCAATCTATGTAACAGACGCTAATAAGAAAAGATAGACGATTTAAACCGCTAAAAAGAGCGACGTAGCTCTTTTAAGACGTTGATTTATTTATTTTTTCATCTATTTAAATGTTTTGTTTGTTTTGTTTCTTCTTTGCATCTTACTAACATAGTCGTTGACATACTTTCCTACTTTTTCTTATATTGTTATATTGTTTATTCATATAGACGCGACGTTTAAATGAATAATTAGATAAGCACAATTTGTGGAAAATAGTCAGAAATTTAAGCATTCTATTTCGGTCGAAAGTGTAGGGCAAAAATAAAATGCATTCAACACTTTGACTGTTTTTAAATAATTATTCTTTTAGTAAGCTAGTTGTATTTCGCGGTGTAAAAGTGGTTGGGTGGATTGGTAGGTAGACAGATAGGCATGTGTTTCGAAAAGTAAATATACATGTGACATTTCCATTTTCTTTTTTCTCGTAGGTTTGTTACAAAAAACGAGAATATACAAATCAAATACAGTTTAGCCTAGGATGTATTGACAAGAAGGTAATCTTTAATTTGTATCGGTACTTTCCGTTTGTCGGCAATTTATAAATGATTACTTTTCAACTAAAAGATATCGTGTTTATATTGAGGTTGAAACCGTTTGAATGACGAATCTACAAGTCGGTTAGCATTTAAAACAAATATCCTTTATGTTCTAAATGAGTTCATCTAACATTTGATATGAAAGAAAATAAAATAAAAGATTTTACAGCTTTCAAACTTGAGACCCGATAAGTGTTTGACTATAAAATAAATTGTTTTAAAAGAATTGTTATTGTTATTTCAGAAGTGTGGCAGATTTGCTGAAATTCAAAATACTTCGGACGTCACAGTACAGAAAATGAGTGCCGACAAAACAAGCTATTGCTATGAATGTTGTTCGACAAGCAAATGCAACAAGGACATTTGTACATATCCTCCAAGTAAGCTGTGTTTTCTACGTCGCACCAACACTGTTAAAGGTCATATGGTGATTTTTCAGTTTTTCTTGTGGTGGAAAACATCAGGTGCCCCTCCGTGCAATATTTCAGACACGAATGGGTATTAAAATTGAACCACCCTTTAGTTTTGAAAGCTAGCTGTGTAACTGGTTTCAAGTCAAATACCTAAACCACTCGGTCACGTTCCATCGCCTCCGTGGTCGGAGGGGTAGAGTCGATTACTTCTAATCCAGTTACCTCTCTGGCGTCGGTTTGATCGCCGGGAGATGTTTTGGTAGTTTAGCTCGGAGGAAGGTAGTCTAGTACTGGTGTAACGATGGTTAGGAAACTACCCGCCTATATGACTGAAATACTGTTGGGAAAAGGCGTAAAATGAAACAAACAAACATACTTTTTTTTTTCAATGAATGATTCGGCATGTAATGTACTTAACATTCATTTATGAAAAACAGCTAGCTTAAGTAAAATATTTCCTTAAACACAGCTGAGTGATCATATATAGACTAGTTTACTACATTTCTTAAATTAAACAGTTAATCATTTTAACTGACGTAAAATGTAAGACTTTAAAATTTCAAAAAATGCGTTGATTTGAATTATTTATGATTCAGAAATTGCATTTTTATAGAATTGATTTGAATATAAATATATACATTTGTATATCCTCTAGCACACACAAATAATGAATAAAGTCACTAGACTTTAGTATAAAACTGTAAAGTTCATCATTTAGTTATTCTTACTAGCTTAAACAAACTGCATAGTTATTCATTATACAATGACAATACAGTCTGTTGCTTTCCGTTCAATTGATAACTGAACAAAAATTCATGAATACTGTATCTCAGACATTGGTTTTATTGGTCATTTGCCTTGGTTAGTAGTCAAACACGTTTGCTTGTATAACTCTTAAAATAAATCAATTGCCGTTTGGACATTTTTTCCTACAGACTCTGAGTGCAGGGATGACAAACACGTTGATTGTGCTCGATTAAACTCAATGTTCAATATATGTGAAGTGAAAAATGAAGCCAAGAAAATTTGTCCACGGTTTTGCAACCTATGTCATCTAGGTATGTATGCTACTTTTATGTCGGATTTGCAGCAGTTTGATATCATAGATAACATAATTGTCACTGGCCAATGAATGGGACGTCACAAACTGGTTGTTGTTGTTGTTGTTGTTGTATTACATATATAGATTTTTGTAATAAAGAGTAAAAGAAAGCGCAAAACATTTTACAATATTACTTTTAGAGAAATATAAAATATATAATACATCTTGCAGTTGATGGTAGTTGGTCGTCATGGTCACAATGGTCATCTTGTGACGTCACATGTGGGAATGGATCACTTTTACGTCAACGTACATGTACTAATCCGGCGCCACAAAATGGCGGCCTTGACTGTCCAGGAAACAAAATTGAAAAGAAATCTTGCAGTCTTCAATTATGCCCGGGTAAATTTGATGAAATGAAAATATTTTCATACTTAAGAACATACTCAAAGATTTTTATATACCTTAAAATGATATTATTATTATATGCCAGTTGTATAATATTCATTATCCATGCATCTGCTGTTTATTCACTAGACTAAATCATCAACATATTCTGACTATCTAAATTTACAAAGGCATAGTAACGTCATAAAATTTTGTTTAGATGATACGATATTGCTCAGTTTGTTCAACCACACGTCAATGTGTTTCTCCATGCATGTATCACAAGTACGAGTAATTGAATAAAAATTATAAGGTAAGTACCTTGTATAAGATGGAACGTTAATCAGCAACACATTTATCTATGAATATTATAATTCATGCTTATTTGGCGTTTGGTTGTTTTCTTCTATCCTTTATGATTACTTTATTTATAAAAAGCTTGTTTTTTTGTTTTCTGTTCATATTTTACAACGATATTTGCACAGCCTGCTTTAATTTGAAATAAGATAAAACATGCATGTCTTCATTACAAGTGCATGGAGGCTGGAGTTCATGGGATGAATGGGGAACATGTTCCGCGACATGTGATACCGGAATGCGCCGTCGGATACGATCATGCACGAACCCACGTCCGGAACATTTCGGAAACCATTGCTTTGGCAACAACGATGAAGTCGAGTTGTGTAAAATTGGTCCTTGTACAAGTAATGTCTGTTTGATAATATTTAGTCATATCAACAATTGATTTTTTTAAAAATCGTTAAAAAATGTATTATAAATTGTATGTAAAGAAATGATATTGCGTAAGTGTGTCTTAGATCATATATTTTAATTAACATTCTTTTTAATTTTTTGAAAATGAAATCTATAGAAACAGTGTTTTATAAGTCAACAACTTACAGTCTTCGACGGTAAAGTCTTTTACAATACATGTTTTCCAGAAAAAGTTGTTTTTGATGCGTACACAACAAAAAGCAATGGTCACTACCTTGATGGCACAGTCCTCGTTTTTCCACACGTGAATCTTAACGACGGACAAGGGTACAACCCTTCAACTGGTATCTTCCAGGCTCCTGTTGCTGGGGTATACCAATTCACAGCCCATGTTTGCGCGAAACCTAGAGCGCATATGGTCATAAGTATTATCAAGGGGTCACAGCAAATTGCGACTACCACGGTTTATGAAAACACTTACTCATCCTGCAGTTCCGTCAGTACTAATGCCCGTGTTGATAAAAATGAAAAAGTATACGTAAAGGCGCGTTGGAGCTCAAGCTTTTTTGCAGACGGGTATATACCAATGGCCTTCCTTCAGCGGATTTCTTATGTTCACATCCGATTAATACATACTAAAGAAAAACCATTAAAGGCACGTAATGCCTTAGAAATCCATATGTTTTAATGTCTTTAAAAAAATGATAAAACTTGTATTAAATAATATTGTTTTAATAATGAATATTGTACATTTTAGATTTTGTAAAACTGAAGAAAGTAGCGCTAACTGTGCTGTAATGGGTGTTTTAAGTTGCATTATGTAAACGAGGTAGTATTTTGACTTCCATTGAAAATACCATTTCACTTAATTAAGTGATGCAAATTGCCAACGGAGCTAAAGAAGCAAAATTTGTTTATTTATATTGCAACTAAGATTATTTTTGGAAACTGTACAAAGATGCCAAAATTAAACAAAAAAGATTTTGAGAAAAAAAAATTATATCATTTCGAAGGTATAGAAGATATTTAAGTGCTTAATCGTCAACACTTGCAAAATACTTAGTACTTATTTCTTTCTTCAATCTTCTACCAAGGCATAATGTTAAGTAAAACAGATAATAATAGTTTTTGACAAATCTTATGATAAAATTGACCTTATACATATATCACTGTTCATCAAAAACGTTCTTGAAAAATTCATTATAAACTGTAGAAAGATAAAAACGAAATCTCTTTATGCATGATAAATTGTTTTGATTTTTAAGTATCAAATTCTAATATCACTGTAAAACTAAGTCTTCTCTTATTGTAACACTAGTTGACATATATATTTATTTTATGTATATACTATGCAAATCTGAATAAATTATCTGTTCTGTTCTGTTAGAGATTATTATATAAAATGTTAGATTATATATTATTATAGTGTAATATGAACATATTATGAACATATCTCCGCACATGTTTTTTGTGGTTTACCGCTACTTGCATAGCATAACGTTGAATTATCCTCGAGGCGGTGTTAGGATATGCTGACAGTGGTTTGAAGTTACAAGAACATGAGTTACACTGACTATGTAACATGAATGACTTTCAAAGTTTCCTCTACATTTTTTTTCAAAGCTAAAACTGGCGAAATAAAATACAAAAATTACTTGAGAAATACGTGAAAAGTGCTGTTGATTGTTGTTTTGTTTCTTTCATTTTACTAGCTAATATTTCGGTATTTTTTGCATGTAGATTGGAGACAGTCTATGTATTATTAAAACTTTTAATATCTATGTGAGTCGTTATTACTTGTTACTTCTCAATTACATCTCACTGTCATTTTATACCTGCATTTACAAGTTATAGTCCTTCAATCAAAGAAGTTTTTTTAGATAGAAACTTAATCTTAACACAAAAAAATCTTTTTAATAAAAGTTAACTTAACAGTATATTAAAATAAATCGTCCTATAAAATGAATGTAAAACTGATTTTATGTTATTTACTCGTGTGTACACACCCAAAAAACATTGTCTAAACTGTTGACCACGACTACATGCATACATATGAAACCCTATTTTTACATTCATGTACGAGTATTTAAGAATTATTATTAAAACATATACTTTAATTTTTGTAACACGGAACTTAATAAAATATCGTCTTTCAACATGTTTGTTTCGTTTTATCATTTGCGACACTATGAATTAGTTTGTCTTTACGTGGAGTATCTAATACATTTAATTTATCAGCAATGGGCTAGTTTCGCCTTGACTTCGTACGGATTGATATTCACAAAGGTTAATCGCCATCATCATTTGTTCTGGTTTTTCTTATTTCCGGGGTCTTTTTCGTTATTTTCATAATTTATTATATAAATTACCCTTATAATTTAATAATAGTACAGATCTTGACATTGACTGCCGGTAAATTAATAGTATATTATTAAATGCTGCTCGTTGACCTAGTGGTAAGAACGAGGAAGTTGTGACTACGTAGTTGTAAGTTCGATCTGGTTGTAGCTTTCATAAACTGATATTTTTATCATTTCTGTTAATTATACAATATATCAACATTTTGATAAATATATATTTCTTCATTTTATTAGTTTCAATAAATAAATTCGCATAATGAGTCTCTTGCATGTATAGTGGTGAAGTTTTAGTAAGTCAAGTGGTATGCTGGTAAGTTATACAATTACCGTTGAATCAGTATAGGCTTATCAAATAAAAAATGTACTGAACCAAATAGGAATGTTTAACGTCTAATTCTAACAAACTTTCGTCTAACAGTAATTTAAACTCGAATTTCAATGTGAAAAGTGTGAAAAGTATTTAAGCACTATAAATAAAGATAGCCATAGGATTAGTTAAACCAAAGTTAGAATATCAGCTCACAATCTAGAAATAGATAAAAGGAAGGCAAGATGATATTCCAAGAAAAAATAAAAAATGTCGAATTTGTCCATTGAATTTGGTAGAAACCGAATATCATTTCTTATTAATATGCCCATAATATTTACTTGGAAAGATTTTAAACCATATTTTTGTAAAGGGCCTACAATGCAGAAATTCGAAACAAATATTTCAAGCAACAATTACTAATCTGGCAAGTTTTCTGTATTATGCATTTAAAGAAAGGACGTATTTAGATTTTAGATAAACTTATGCAGACTGTTGAAAAGGAGGTAACTACGACAAACAAATGCTAAGTATACATGACGGTTATGTCATCTTAGAAATATTAATAATTACCTAATGATACAATGCAACGTATCACAAATATCTTTCTACTGTATTTAAGTACATTTGTTTCTTACATGTACAAGTATTTTTATGCACACTCTGTTAGATATGTCTTATCCTTTGTTTATACATGTCAACAATACTTCTCGGCTAAATTACTGTAATTTATAACACTTTACACCACACAGAATCTGAATTGTATATCTATAAATTGTATTTATACAATTTTATGTTGAATAAAATATATGTTATGTGTTATGTTATGTTATGATATGTTATGTGTTATTTCATGTTATGTTATGTTATGTCTGCAAGTTATAACAACATTAGCAACAGACCACACCACAAAGCCAATGTTTCATTTATATTTATTAGAGTACATTTCATGTACTTATTTATTTTAATTGAACAAAATTAACTGTATGTATTAAGATAAAAATAAAAATGATAGAACAGTTGAAAACGGCTATATGAGAGAAATGTAATTGAAAGAGCATCGAAACGCGAGACTATCTGATTTGTACAAAGGGGGTATTGATGTTCTTTCTCTTTTGTAATGTAGGCAAAAAATAAAAAGACGTTCCCTGTCGTTTACAATAATAAGCCCCAGAAAAAAGTAACAAATGAATGAACGAGCATATAAATATAACCTTTCTGACCTTATCTCTTTCACTGTACTCGCAATAAATAAACCCAAAAAAAAGAGCCAATCAACGAGTTTTCCCTAGACAGACAGTGAGTGCGAACAACTATAATACAAATGTACGTCAATGATATCCTGTTCGCTCAAATGCATAAATCTAATGACGCACATTAAACATGTTAATACCGCAGTCTTTATTATTATTGTTGTTGTTGGTGGTGGTGGTGGTGGTGACGTGGTGATGGTGGTATTGGTGGTGGTGGTGGCGACGTGGTGGTGGTGACGTGGTGGTGGTGGTGGTAGTGGTGGTGGTAATGGTGACGTGGTGGTGATGGTGATTGGTGGTGGTGGTGGTGGTGGTGTAATCTTATTAATATTATTATTATTATTATTATTATTATTATTATTATTATTATTATTATTATTATTATTATTATTATTATTATTATTATTAATATTATCACTGACAAATTCTTTAAAACCAAAACAATAAAACATTATTGTTAAAATTTATTAGCGGAATATTGCCTGACAATCGACAGTACCGAATTCATGAAAAAATAATGAAACATGCAAAGGAATATACGTTCTTGTTGATAACTATTTTCAACTTCAATTTATCTAAAAAAAAAACAGACTGGCTGAATGACTGATGACGTAAGCACTAGCATTAACTGTGACCTTTCAACTAAAGGGGAGACATAATCTGAGTTGCGTGTGAGACCTTACGACTTATCTCCCTTATAATGACAGAATTGTCTAGATAAACTGCATAATCACATTAGTTAACATGGATAATGCTTATCATTATTCTCGTTGTTGTTGTTGTTGTTGGTGATGACGTTGTTGTTTTTACATCAATATTCATTATTATTATTATTAATATCATTATTATTATTACTATTATCATTATTATTATTATTATTATTTTTATAATCGTCTTCGTCCTATTTGTTGTTGTTGTTGTTGTTATTTTGTTTTTACCTCAATCTTCATTATTAAAGTTGTTATCATTATTATTATTATTATTATTATTATTATTATTATTATTGCTGTTATTATTATCATCATTATTATTATTATAATAATTATTATTAATATTAATATGTTTATCATTATTATAATCATTATTATTATTATTAATATCACAATTATAGTTGTTGTTGTTGTTGTTGTTATTGAATGGGAAACAAGTGTGTTTGAGCTGTGATGATTCTACGAAGCAAACATATGACGACTTCATTTCTCTAATCCGATAATACGAATACGAATACGAAAATTTTATTCAGCATTAAACATGTTACAATGTTTATAGCCTATACAAATTCTATTGCACAGTGTGAACAAAAAACATAGAAGAAAGAAAAGCAAACAAAATACATTTTTTACATAATAAATTATACAGTTATCAGAAGAGATTGTTTAATGAAACATTATTCTGAAAAAAAGTATCATGATTATGTAATGTCGAATAAACATGTAAATGTATCATTACATATATAACCCTATTGAAATATTAACAATATTTACGTGATTCTAATGAAAAAAAAATACACAATTCTTCTTTTATTTGCAAAGTAAACAAATTTAGCTAAATTCAATAAATCTTTTGTAGAGTTTGTTGACATGAGAGCCCTAAATTTATTCAAAGTCGGCCACTACATATTTTAACAGATTAAGCGTTTAAACTATAACTCACACCGTCAAGTTGGACGTAAACGTGACATTGTATGTATCACACAATACTTGAAGATGTTAGATGTACTGCCCGGGGGTGCGGAAATTAGCCTCAATATACCTGTCAATCAATTCGCCCAGTGTCCAGTATGTTTTAATAATTTGAATTTTCAACCTAAAAACTGATTTTTTTATCTTCTTAAAATGTTAATAATTGAGCTATATGTGTGCAGTAGTTGGGATGGATTAACTTTCTTTAAGAATTTTATTTAAATTAAGGAAATTAAAGAAACACATTAGTTTAGATGCAAGGAAATACGGATCAACTGTGAACATATGATATAGTTAGTATATATTCGTTACCAATAGAATTATCAGAAAATACAATGGATTAATATTCCTGGTTTAGTATATTTGTTTAGTTACTATTGTTGTTTCTTAGTGAAAGAAGAATTTAATTACGAAATGATAATAAATGATGATAAGAATAATAGTGATAATCATAATAATAGTATTAACATTGTCATTATATAAATGATTATGATGTTGTTGTTGTTGTTGCAACCATGGTTATTAATATTAAGGTAATCATCGTCATCATTAACATCATTATTGTTATTGTAGTTGTTGTTGTTGTTATTGTTATTTTTGTTGTTGTTGTTGTTGTTGTTGCTGTTGTTGTCGTCGTTGCTATTATAATCTGATAGGCGGAGCAGCTAAATGCCAGAAAAACAGAAAACAAAAGATAAAAGGAAACTTAAAATGCCCTGTGGTAATAATTCAGTGTTCAAATATTGAGAAACGGGAAATGGTGTTAACAGACGTATTTTATTTCCGTTATTACTCGTCGGAGAATACATGAGAAGAAGTATTTCTGTTTCCATGGAAACATGAAAAGTCCCCTTTTACAAGTTCAAATGGCTATGAAACTATAAACAAAAAAATGCTTCAATACTGATCAAACTTGGCACAAATGTTGATTGGAAGCCCAGTTATAAATTCCCTGTTACCATGGCAACGAGGGGATATCTAAAAAAATTGCAAAATCACTATTTTGCTTTGATTATTTTTCGTCAAAAGTGATTTCAAATTGCTGCAACTTCTCAATGGATTCATTGGACGAAAAAAAGTAGGGCAAAGAATTATTATTAATACGCTGCCCGAATTTTTTAAATATCAAATATCAATGACGATCATACGGCTATAGATAGCAAGATCCGATATTTAGAATATATCGGGTTTTTTTTCTAAACATTGCATGATTTTATTTCATTTATTGAGAATCTAGATTTATTTAGAAATTAGATCTATTTATTTATTTATTTGCCTTTTTTTCAAAATTAGATATATTTGATATTCTATTAAGCAAGTAACATAATTATCTAAGATCGTGTCCTTAGAGAAATAATTGCGAAATTAACTTCCCTACAAAATCCACTGTTCAAATCGTTAAAATCAATATTCATGATGTCACACTTAGTGGGGCGGGAAATAAGGTCTCTGCTGTCAAAATAGTGCAAATTGTGATACAAGCATGAAACTTTCAGGAAATTATCTTTAGACCATGTAGATTTCAAAAGTGAAGTGGGCCCAAAAATATCTCTGCTCATTCAAGATGGCCGCCATTTTCAAGATGGCCGCCATATAAATTTGATGTACATAATAGCTCATTCATTCCAATTTTTTGTACAGACCTGAAACTTACACCAAAGCATGCATATAGTTTCCCCTTTTCAAAAATTTAAATCTTTAAGCAATTTCTCTTGGCATTTTTTTCTTCAGAATCCATAATGGCGTCCAATATGGCTGCCAATTTTAATGAAACTGATATATCTCTTTTGCAAGTATAATGTTTTGCACACGGTATGTGTATTTCCATATAAAATTGTGAAATATATTAGAAAAAAATCAAATTTTAGGTTAACCACATTGTTAGTCATGTTTTTAGTTTTTTTTTGTACAAAAAAAATCTTTAAAAAAAAATCAAAGAAAAAGTGCCATTTTTTCATTTTTCTCTAACATGGTTTTCTAGGTCTATGTACAAAAATTCCAAAAGTTACATAGTTTCTTAAAGTGTATTTGATATTCAATCAACACTATGTTTTATTGTATAATTGTAACAAAAATAAACAAAAATGTGAAGGTTTTATATACTTATTAAAAGTGGGTGGGGTAAATTTATCAGACAATTGTAGTACAAAATAACGTTTTTTAAGAATTCTTATGCAAATATTCACTGTAAAAGTATTTTATTGTATTAAGGTATTTTTTTTTTTCGCTTCAGGTCTAGAGGGTGTACTAAAATATCAATAAATGCAGATACAATCATATGTATACATTCAGTTATTAAATGTGTTTGCATGATATAAGTTGTTTCAAATATTCTTAATACAATTTGATAATTGTACAGAAAAGAATATTCATCAACGAACCATATGTTAGATAAAATCATGCCTGGACCTTAGTGAAATGTTGTTTATTTTTTAATGAATACAATTATTTCCCTGGCACAATTTAGTCTTGCTAAAAGCTTGTAACAGAAATGATTCAAAGTCATATTTACTTGCACATCAAATTGTAACCAAGTATAATTGAATTAGTACCGTCCATTTCTAATAACTTATGTAGACATGAATATTTTCAAAAGAAACAAATACGACTGATAACATCATACTATCTAATGACTAGGTGTGCTAAAATAGGTATCAATAAAAAGCCGCTTGACCCAGCATAACAAACATAGCTTATACTTTGGAATATAAACTAAATGTATTCCCTACTTTATTTTTTCCCCATTAAACAAGAGCATTGTTGACCCTAGATCACGCGCCTAAGACCATTGCTGGAAAAGGTCTATAATTCTTTTATATGAAGAATGCTAAAATTTATATAAGGAGTATCTTTTTTTTCACCAGTCATGATTTATAAACTATTTGAAAAGAATCATGTCCAATAACTAGGCTCTCAGAACTACAAAAAGACTCATATAACTATATTCCAATAAAAGTCCATGTAAACTAAGTGATTTTGACCCTATGCCAATAGTTTATAATCTTTATATAGCATCACCAATGTTATGATATATTTTCTCTTCTCGTCTGTGCACATAGTTTCGGAAAAGAATTTTAATATATGAGTCAATGTAAACTAAGTGACAGAGAAAGCCATTTTGGACTACAGGAACATGAAATTAAAGGCCGCACGAGGAACACAGTTTTTAAAAGACTTGTGTAGGGAATCGCATTGAATTTGTTTGTTGTTGTTGTTAAAAAAAATCAACAAACAAACAAACTGTAATGCCTAGAGCTTAGATAAGTCCAAAATATTACCTTGCCAAGTAAAGAACACCTCTTTAAAAGTTACATAAAACACTTTTGGATCATAAAGTGTACATGCAATAGAAAAAATCTTCTCAAAAATCAAAAATGCATAAGAGCACAGGTACTAAGCTGGCATGTAGCACCACCTTGGGTCTTTGTTAACACATTTAATGAATAATGCTCATAGCGCCACCTGGGTTCACTTGTATAGGAAAACATTAAAACATCTAGTTGTTAAACTACATTGACCTTGAAATAAGATATTTGGGATGTAGAAACTGATATAACATGCATAAATTTGTATGATGCTACTCAGTCTAAAATGGTTTTGCAATGGTAATCAAATCTTAATTTACAATAACTACTGTAATAAAATCTGTTTTTCTCTCTAACCTACAGTATCCGACGCATATTATACATTAATCTGTATCATCAAATTAAATTATGTTATAATAATGATATAGTCATGGACGAACATGGTCCAATTTACGCAAACACAAAAGGTCACTAAAGTTTATATGGACTCGTATATAGATATGGTTATTAAAAGTCGCTCTCGTGGTGAAATAAAAAATTGAAAGCAGATATTGAGCAATGTTTCTTTAAAAGCAACCGGATTCAATTATGACACAAATCATGTGGTGTTTATGACATAAAATTGACATAATTGACTCCCAAAATGATCTTGTTTACCTTTTTTGTGCAACAATGATCATAGGTGAGTGATTCAGGGTCATCATTACCCCTCTTATTGAAAGAAAAAAAAAGATATGATTACTTTAGGAAATACTAGTAACACTTAGTTTGTATCTTAACTTTTAAAAAGTTGCATGCAGGCCAGGCATATCATCGATAATATATGTTTCACAATCACATAGCATTTTGTTGGTTTTTTAAGCCATCTTTATATTATAAATATAAAATTGTGGTGGAGTCAAAAATATGCGTTTATGGACTGAACCTTTATACCTTACATTCAAGTACAGCATGTTTGCTATTTTAAGCACGATTTAGTTGATTTATTGTCTTCTTAATGTCTTTACAATTAACAATTAATATATGATATCAAATATATTGAAACAAGAATTATCATGCAACCAAATTTAATAACTGAAGGTATACACATGTTTGAATGTGCATTTCTTGCTCACCCACCAAATGGCCCGATCGAAGGAAGACAAAAATACTTTCATCCAATAAAAAGTACTTTTTTAAAGTTGGAACATTTGCATAAGAATTTATAGAAAAGTAAAAAGACAAAGAAATAGAATGAACTCAGCTATGTAGATTTTCTGTTGTTTTTTCTTTTAAAATTATCATATGAAATTACCCCACCCACTTTCACAAAATATAAAACCTACAGATTTAATGCTTTCCTTACATTCTTTACAATAAACACATAATATTAATAGAATGTCAAATACAGTTTAAGATATAAAGTAACTCTTTTTAAACTTTGTAAATTACTTTAGAAATTCAAATTTGAAAAATATGAAAAAATTGGAATTTTTTCTTGAATCTTTTTTAAAGATATTTTTAGACAAAAACTTTTAAAATGTTTACTTTTATTGAGATTAACATATAATTTGATTATCTCTGATATGTTTAAACACCTTTTTTATCATAATAACATAATTTGGTGCACCAAAATTATACTATAAAATGGTATATTCAGCAGTTTTTCACAAAATCGACGGCCATATTGGACGCCATCTTGGATTTGGAAGAAGTATGAAAGAGAAAATTTTGTGAAAGATTTAAATTTTTGAAAGGAGAAACTATATGCATGATTTTGGTGTTAAGTTAAAGGTCTGTACAAAAAATTGGAATGAATGAGCTAGAATGTATGTCAAATTTAATAAATGGCGGCCATTTTGAAAAATGGCGGCCATTCTTGAATAAGCAGAGATATTTTTGGGGCGCGCACTTCACTTTTGAAATCTACATGGTCTAAAGATGATTTCCGGAAAGTTTCATGCTTGTATCACAATTTGCACTATTTTCTCAATTTCCCGCCCCACTAACTGTACAGTATGACGTATTAAATTGAAGATGACGTAATGTCCAATTGGCAGGTAAGAACGTTTTCGTGATACTGTGCAGTAATTTAAATAAAATGTTGTTGAAAATAAATGCTACGAGTATATGCTAAATGCAGTATATAAAATGCTTAAATATTAGGCTTAATGTTATCCCGCGTAGCTTTGTCTGGTTGTCCTTATGATTGTAGACGTTTTTTAACCTACATCCCACCATCTATACAGTATGGTGGCTGAGTTGGAACGTTTATGTGCGTCGTGTTGGCGCTAGCGACAACAGGAAAAGGCGCCAAACGGTCGGACTTTTGTCTTGTCGTCCTGTTGCTATCGATGTACACCAAACGGCGCTTCGTCGTGTGACGTGTTGTCGCGATGTCACATTGTCACTCGGTTCATAATCGAAGAATTTGCTGATGAGCCAAGTGAGAGGGCGACATCGCGACAAGGCGCCCCACGACAACGCCCCGTTTGGTGTGCTTCGCTATCGACAACGTAAAGCGCAATGTATCAAATCAGCCACCATACAGATTTATGATAAACTGTTTCGCGGCACCAGCGGTCAATGTCTGTGATCTTAAATGTTCGGTCCTTTACTCATAAGTAAGAATAAGTCAATCACTGATAGTATCTTTCGAAAATGTCACCGTTGGCTTCATAAAACAAGAGACGGTTGAACTGGGTGATGATTCCCGAAATGGTTTTGGACACAGATAACTAGTTTCTTATTGATATCTCTTGCAGTTTCAGAATTATGTCCAAGACAAAATTCAAAGTGTAAAATTTTCAAAATAAAACAAGGACAATTAAATTGAAGATGAGGCCAGAATTACAGATTGTTTACACTGCACTTCTACTCAATTTGATCCATCTACTTCCCTAGTTTCTTGTCGATGACTTTTGTAGTCTCAGAGTTATGTCAAAGTGTAAAAATGAAAAAGGGCAATAACTCCAAGATTAGGCAAGGCAGAGTTACAGTTCTTATGCATTGCACTTATACTGAATGAGATTTATTAACCTTCTTAATTATACCTATACACTGTAATACATATCCACAGTAAAACATATCAACAGTTATACATATCCACAATTATCGGCTTAGGCATTTTTTATTCTAATAAAAACCAATTCTATGTTGAATAATTTATTAATTTCAGTTTGTTTGATTTTAGTAAATTCTAATTTTTTTGATATCTTACATCTCGTTACTTGCTATAAATACCTTTCATTGTATATAAAACAAGATTCTATACATTACTAATTTTCGTAGATATGACCTATATCTCACTTTTGTATTTTGATATCTCATCGGAAAGATTGAGAGATAAGTATATCTCTTACAAAATTAATGTAACTCAAGTTTACACCCATCATTGAGTTGAAAAAAACTGTATTAGTCACATGAGTGATACGAATTTTATTTCACGGATAACAACATTAATTTCAATGATCATTCAATTTTAAAGCAGCAGACCTCCAAATTCAATCTAATTTTCATGGAAATTTGAAAATGTATTTAACAGTATAATATTATCGTAAAGTTACCAAAAGAATGCAATTTACACAATCATTATCAGTGGCACTTACAACCCACGTAAATTACCATAAAGCGGTCAAAATATGCAAAAATAGCAATTACTAAATACTGCGTTAGTAACGCAGTAGAAATATGGTTATAAATACTGAAAAATCGGTCATTAATCGCACATAACATGTAAATTATTACTTTATACTTTTCCTTAAATAACTACATTTTTCTCGGGTTTGGTTTTATCGAAATATTTTTGCTCATCATTCTGGGGGCGTGCAGCTTTAAGCGTAAATATTGGTTATAATATTATATCGTACTTGTCTCTATTTTACTCCATTGTCGTGATTTATATGATGTTGATATAGCTTGTACAATAAAAGAAAATCCGGATTAACTCTGTTTTTTCGGTCAATGATTAAGTCCTAATTCGAAAATATCATTGTTTGAATACCTTATGTACTAAAAGGCTCACATCGAATTATAGCATATATATGTGTATTTAGTGACAGGATTAAGGACGGATAATTGGTGAAATTGATATTTCGTATAAGACAATATGTGGTGTAATGAGTGCAAACATTCCGTCTGTTTAAAAAGTTAAAAAGTTAAGATTAAGTTCAGCAAATCGTTGTATTTATTATTAAAATATAAGCAAGCGGCGGATGTGGCTGATTTTTAATTTATGATTAACAGGAATTGTTATATCATTTCGTCATTCTCGTGCAATTTTTTTATGATTTGTTGTTGTTGCTTTCTAGTAAGGGAACATTTGCTCTGCACTGAATGCGTAGTGCTTTCAAAACATCAATTATACTATAATAACATACAACGCAGTGTTATAATTGCATAGATTATAATCAAACTTGGATAACAAGTTTTTTTAAAATGGCTTGAAGTTATATTATTATTATCATATATATGACATTCTGAAATATAGAGTTACACGCCATTAATTATTGGCGAAGGAGAACGAAAAAGGTATGGAAAATTGAAATTGTTTCGTACGGATGTGTTCTTTACAATCATGTCTGTAAATGAGCATGATTTAATTTTTTATTCATTTATTTATTTGTTTGTTTGTTTGTTTGCTTGTTTATTCATTCGATTGTTTATTCATTCATACATTTTTTCATTCATTCATTCGTTCGTTCGTTCGTACGTTTGCTCGTCGTTTGTTTGTCTTGTTTACTTGCTTGCTTGCTTATTCATTTATTTATTTATTTATTTATTCATTTGTTTGTATGTTTGTTTTATTTGTTTGTTTGCTTAATTTGTTTGCTTTTTAGTGATCGCTTTCTTGCTTGCTTATTCATTCATTTTTGTTTGTTTGTTTATTATTTTTGTAAATCACATAAATAGATTATTAAGATCTGTATTAATAGTTACAATTCATGTAAAGATTTGATGTTATATTCAAACTATGTACTGTACCCTATACAAGTTAATTTTATTACACTTTTCATTTTGTCTATATTTATTTATTTTATTTATTTATTTATATATTTATTTATTTATTTATTATTTATTTATTTATTTATTTATTTATTTATTTATTTATTTATTTATTTATTTATTTATTTTATTTATTTATTTATTTATTTATTTATTTATTTAACCTGCATTAAGACATACTGATATTTATATATTTATAATATGTTACATTTGATAACATTATTTCAAGCTGTTTCAAGAAACATCTGTAAAACATAGTGTGCAGTAATCTGTTGATAATTATGTTAGGTAGCAAAATATTCATGATTTTATCACTCAATAAATTCACCGTAAAATATCGTTATGGTGCGCAGCATCATACCATTATCTTGTAACGCCATTGTGATAGGCCTATAATTCCTCGCATCCAAACTCGAAATAGTGATTTTATTTAGCTATAAAATTACTGTCAGGGATATATTTTTTCCCAAACACAACTAAGTCTGTCAAAACTTACGACGTGTATCTCTTAGGTTAACATTTTCTTGTTCAAGACACCATTCATAATGAATTTCTTTGATTTGTCAACCTCTTTTTTCTATGAATGACTCATACGTTTTATGTTTATAAATATTTATCTTATGTATTCGTTGACCCGTGATGACATGATGTTCGTGAAGTTGGCAGCCTAGCAGCCTCGTGATTAGATGTGACACTTCTCAAGCTTAGTCGAAACGTTTTAACCCTTAGCATGGTGTTGATATTTCGTCTGCTAAATTTCGTTTTCTTAATGTCGTCTTCAAAATTTTCTCTTCTAAATGGCGTTTTCTAAATGTCGTCTGCTAAATGTCGTCTTCTCAATGTCGTCTTCTAAATTTCCTCTTCTGAATGTCGTCTTCTCAATGTCGTCTTCTAAATTTCCTCTTCTGAATGTCGTCTTCGAAATGTCATATACTCAATGTCGTTTGCTCAATGTCGTATACTTAAATGTCGTCTGCTAAATGTCGTCTTCTAAATTTCCTCTTCTAAATGACGTCTATTGAATTTCCGCTTCTTAATGACGTCTTCTCAATGTCGTCTTCTAAATTTCCTCTTCTAAATGTCGTCTTCTAAATGTCGTATACTTAATGTCGTCTGCTAAATGTCGTCTTCTAAATGTCGTCTTGTAAATGTCGCCTGTTAAATGTCGTCTTCAAAATGTCGTTTTCTAAATGCCGTCTTCTAAATGTCGTCTTTTAAATGTCGTATACTAAATTTCGTATTCTAATGTGTCGCCACTGTCGCCTGCATAACTGTGGCGGTCTTGGATCAATTATTTCAATCAATAAATACACTTGGATTAAAGCTGAGAATTGCAACATGTTAACGAAATAGGTTTTAACCCTCCTTAAAAGCTTAACTGTATACGCTAAAAATCGATATCTTGTATAATAGTAAGCATAAATATTATATCTCAAAATGATTTTAAATAAAATGACTATAAGTATTTTCTCTTGTTTTTTCCAGATCCAATGTGGCGAATGTAAACGGTGTGCATTTCTTACATTATGTCAATAGGCATAGAAGTATAAAATGGCTTTGAGAAAATTCAAGTGGTTAAGGAGTAAGTTTGATTTTCTCAACGTTAAGGTCTCAAAACTTTAGACAGTCTCTATTGCACCCTTCCTCCAAGTTTCACATTCTAAACAAAACATGAAGAATCAGAACTACTGAAGAAATTTCCATGAGCGAATACATCATAAAATGAAAGCAAATCATAACATTTCGTGTTATATATATTGTAAAATATGAAATTATCAGGTTGTCTCCCTTTGTTACAGGACATCAGCGGTACAATGTCTTACCTGGATATTAAATCACAAACTTACGAGTTTATCTGTCTTTCTTACAAAGTAAGAACGCTACATTGTCCTGTTTGGATTATTAAATTATGAGTTTACGAGATTATCTTACTTTATTACAACTAATATTTAATTCAATTGATCAAATATGAATTTACAAGGTTGTCCACCTTTTAATTACAGAACAACAACGAAGGCAATGCTAGGTTATGAATTTACAAGATTCCCCCCCTTTTATTACAGAACAACAAAGATACAATGGTCTGATAGTTATGCTAAATTATGAATTTACAAGTAACTTCCCTTTTATTTACAGAACAACACTGAGGGTAATGTTTAATTATGAATTCACAAGATTATCTCCCTTTTACTTACAGAACCACACTGAAGTAATGTTTATTAATTAAGAACTTACAAGGTTACCTCCCTTTTATTTACAGAACAACAGCGATACAATGTTCTGAAGGTAATGTAAAACTATGAATTTACAAGATTACCTCCTTTTTATTTACAGAACAACAGCGATACAATGTCCTCCTGGTTGTAACAACTACGTTCATAGTGTACACATTCTTATGGAAATGTAAGTGTGATTGTAGTTGTTAATCAAAATAGATTGAGCCTTTTTAAGGTTGTATGTTTTTGAAGGTGTATTTATTCACACGTACCGTATGTTTCTTTCTTTCTTTCTATCTATCTTTCTTTTTTCTTCTTTCTTTCTCTCTCTCTCCCCCTCTCTCTCTCTCTCTCTTTCTTTCTTTCTTTTTTTTCTCTTTCTTTCTTTCTTTCTTTCTTCCTTCCTTTCTTTCTTTCTTTGCTTTAATTGGCATGAACCTTTGTTCGTTTTTTCGTATTTTTGTGAACAACCATTTAACATGCATGATTACTTGTATTTTATTTATAAGAAATGCTAAGATTTTTTTCTTTGTTTTTGTTATTTGTTTTCTTTTTATATTGATATTTAATTTTTTGTAAAATTTTTAGTGAGATATATGCAGGAATATACATTGTTTATCATATTAATAACTCTATTGTTGTCTTGCCTGAAGCTTACTAGTAGTAGTTTTAGACAATAAAGCTCTTACCCATGATCCTAAAATTGAGAGAAAGACCTCTATTTCACTAGGCCACCTCTATCCTTAAGACCTTAAGACACATTTGGTCAGAATTATCCGTGTTAAAAATATTTGAATATTACTTATTCATTTGTTTCTAAATTGAGAGAAAGGCAACTTATTCACTTGGCCACCTCTAACTTTCAAAACCTTAAGACACACTTTGTATATAACAAGCGCCCGTCTTAAAAGTATTCGCATACATTTGTATTACTAATAACCTTGATTGTTTTTTCATTAGTTACAGTAAACAGTGGAGTGCATGACAGTTTAATTTATAAACAGCCAAAGGTTTCCGGAAGCGGAAACAGTACATATCGTCACGTGATTCCTTTGACAACCCAAGCTGTCAGCAAAAGTATGCAGATTTACGTAATTGACATTTAAATTTGAAATGATAATAAAGAATATGATTTAAATTTTTTGTTGTCCTAGCACTGACTCTTCTGCATCAACTCTAAGCCTGGAAGTGGCAATATATTCTACCAATGCTAACTAAAATGTCGTCTGCTCATAGTCTGTACTGTTTGCAGTTCAGTCAGTATACATACATTTTTTTGTTGTTGTGTTTTTTTTTATTTTATTCCGAAAATGGCTTATTTAAGTCCGTTTCAAATATAAGCGTAGAAACGGTTGAAAACATTTATAACATTAATCGAAAGTCACGCTGTAAATACTTATTCTTTATATAAATAGTTTATAAATATAGGCACAAATTCCAGATGATGTAGTTCATATTGTCCTTTCATTTCAGAACACACGGACAAAGGTCTGTGCGACCAATGGTTTGAAGACTCGTTCAAGAAAAATTTGGAACATATCGCCGGTTATCCACGTGGACTGGCTGACAAATACATGTATACCATTGCCGAAAATCGGACAGAACCAAAGACTATATTTAAAACATTTCCGGTCGTTGCGACTGCGGCAAATAGCGGGTTTTATGGTATCTCGCAGGGTTTGATAAAATCTGTATATGAGAAATTGCTGCCAAAATACAAAAATATCAAGATAGTCTACTATGACATGGGACTCAATCCTAACCAAAGAAAGCAGGTAAGAATCTGCAGCAATATAATCATTAATTTGATCAAATATTTGAACTTCTTGTATAAGTACAAAAAAGTAAAAAAAAGTGTGCTCCTGCTCACAGGATCGCCCATGCCTAAAATGTAAACATTTTCCATGTATATATTAAGGATTGCAAAGTCGGTGTATGCCTTTAACAGAACCGCCTAAAATTAAAGCCAAAAACTCAAGAAGCCTAATAAAAAACTACATCGCATTTTTTATCCATTTGGTTCTTAAAATGTTTTATATATTCAATATCATTATGTCCCAGCTTTTTTATGAACTGTTGGCACGAGGTACCCATTTTAACGACTTTCTGCTCCAATTCTAACAATAACAAACACGTTTGTGTCCATTATTTTTCCAGTTGGAGACCCACTGCAAAATTTGTGAAGTGAGGAGTTTTCCATTTGAAAAATTCCCCGCACATTTTAAAAGACTGAAAACTTATGCTTGGAAACCTATAATAGTAAAGGTAGGTGAACGTTAGATTGTAATTTTGCTCTTTTTCTATAGTCAAGTTGAACTGAGGTAGCTTAACATTTGAAAAAGATTGTGTATCAGCTATGGTAATAGACCAATAATTGAAAGTGAATATTAAAAAAGGAAATGTTAAACATTAAAAAAAACTGTTGCATGCCCCTTTAATACTCGTTACCGTACACTAATTTAAACTTCAGTGGGTCGCATGTGTTATTGAATATTCATGACAAGAATGATACAGTTATTTTGATTTTTACTTTAACACTGAATGGATTTAATACGACTGTAACCTGAAGTTCCTGACGTTGCACTATTTAAATTGTTTAAAGTCATTAAAAACTATTTATAATATTAAATTATGCTATATTTCCTCAGTAAGCATCAATACATAAATTATGTACTTAACTGATAATATAGCCACTCAAAAAGAAAGAAAACACCATTTTTATTGATCTTTTTGTCGACTTTACCAGTCATTTTGGTCTTTAACCCGTAGAGGAGGCATAGAAATTAAGGTGTATGCTTCTCAACCCAGGGATTATGGGTTCAAGCCCTATTCGGATAACGACCATGCTTCCTAATACGACACCAGTACTGGTTTGTTCCAGGAAGAAGACTCGAATGTGATAAATATAAGTTGCAAAAAAGCTGAAATAAAACTAACAGGTAAAACAAACGTTATAAGAATACTTGTTTCAACGTTTGTTTAGATATTTATGATCATATTTTGATACATATCAACTAAAAAACAATATTAAATGATTTATTTGTCCCGTTATTTTCTTCCACTAAAGAACATGTCTTTATTCTCATATTTTTAAGAATGGCAAAAATACTATTGAAGCATATGCATTTCGGGCGTTTCCGCCACATTTTGATATAATTTATATCTTAATTATTAAATATCATAATCTATAACATGTGTACAATGATGAGCAGTCCCGCTTACAAAGTTGTCTGATGTTTTCTTCAAACTTTTCTTTTCAGACTTTATTGATGGAATATGGCTGGGTATGGTGGGCGGACAGTTCCGTACGTTTCGTCACAAGTGACGTCGATCGCGCGTTGACCTATAGTAAAGACAATTCAATTTTATTCTTTACTTACGGTGTAGTGTTTTCAGTTGCTCAACACACTGATGTCCAGACAATGGAGTACCTGAAAGAAGATCGATGTAAATTCCGCCATTTTGGGGAAGTTGAGGCAACATTTGTGCTGTTTCATTTTGATGACGTCACACATACTATAGTAGACACGTGGGCTGCGTGCGCAGTTAATGAAAACTGTATAGCTCCTCAAGGCACAAATCGGAAGTTATCTTGTCGAATAAGCAACAAATCTGATGGCAGGTGTCACAGATTTGATCAGGCAGTTTTAAGCATTTTACTACGTAGACTGTATCATGCGAAAAATGATTACCCTCTAGTTTCAACACCATTTCATATCCACGAAATAAAACGCGGCAATGCTATATCATATTTCCCGGAATGAATATGTCTGAATATTCTCGCTTATGATAAAATTTAGAGTGATGGTGTTTGTGAACAAATACAAGAAGAGCCTCCAAATTTTAATATCGCTATTGCATGCTATCGGTATTACATTAAAATTTGAATAAATGATGAGTGATTAAAGAATACTATGTATTGGTCACAGGGGGATATTTTCAGTTTAAATTCTTACATGTGAGTATCGTTCAAATCAAAGTTTTAATTTTTGAGAACAGTTTCGAACAAATATTGAGTTTTATAAATCATTATTATAAAGATAGTATGTTTACGTAAAAAAAGCAAGCACAAGACGAAATGATCTGTTTACATTTGTAGTTAAACTTATTTATTGTATATTTTGTTACCATTTGTATAAAATTGTGAAATACTGATTGCCGAATGCCGAGAGAAGTTTTAAAAAAGCTTACTCAATCAGTAAAATTTATTTTATGTACTTCATTATATAAATGAAAAAATAAAAATAAAAATATTGTTGAAACTAGCTAACAAATTACTAAAGAGAATGTGTCCTAACATATTCTATCAATCTGATAAAAATCAGCTCCTTAGTAACGCTACGCACTAGGATCTCCGACCACCAATTGGTTGTCACCTTCTCGTGACTTTTAAAACAGCCAATCATCAGCGAGCTTTCACAATTTCGGAAAGAGATGCGGTTTCTTATTTTAACCGCTGTAAATTTAATACTGAGAATGTATATTTCAAGATTTCGAGAACAAACATGGCGTTATAGCCGGCAAGAAAACTGGCAAAACAATCTTACGTCATTAAGAATTCTATAGTTTCCAGTTTGTTTGTTTCTTATTACTTCAAACATTTTTTAAACAAAAAATGAACAATTTGATTTTATTCCACAGACAACAATATTTTGATACTTCGTCTTATGCCTATCTGTAAAGAACAGTTTGATTTGATGGCTAAAAATAGCCTTTTTCGGGAAATACGAATCGCCGAATAGGTAGCAGTCAGATCTTGCAACATGCAAGAAATAACGACAAAAGATTTGAATTTTAGTCAGATGGCATATATTATGAAACATAGATCAACTACGGAAAAGTGTACGCGGATGTCATAAATAAAACATCCCTTCATCTTTTATTTTACACTTTTTGCTTCAAAGTTGTGATTCGGTATTTCATATGCACCGCATCCGTTTTTACTCGAAACACCTTAACGAAAAGTTGCTGTTATCAATTATCTTGAGTTACATAAAAAATGGCTGCGCCCAACTAGAAATGACATTGAACATTTCATTGATAGGTATAGAAATCTTTAATGGTTTTTATTTGATGTCCTTTTTCATATACAAGTGTAGTCTATAACCAAGCAATAGTCCAATGATTTTAGATGAAATGATAGTCACAATATTCGTACACATTTACATACAAAGTGCAGAATATGTCCGAGTTTACATGCACTGTATTTATCATATTTTTCGACCTACTTTTTTAAAGGAACTCCATTGAGGTCAACAATAAAATTAAAGTTTCTTGCATAGATAATCTGGGTCACATAAAAAGGAAAAATAATCAAAAGATAAACAAGAAATATATTCAGAAATAAACTGAAAATCTTTTTGTACTATTCATAGCCCGACATTTTACGCTTTACAATTTTGTGAAATTTTCGTAATCAAAATTATTATTTTGAAAAAAAAAAAAGAAACGGAGTGAGCGAATGATCTGCACAATGCCTTGGTTTGGACATACATCAAAAGAAACATTAATTTCGAAAACTTAAAACAAGCATTTAAAAGGCCCACCGCTGCATTTAAAAATATTGACAAAAAAGCCCCTCTGGTCCTACATTTCAGTCTTAATAAATAAATATTACCTAATGTACATTGTCTAGTTCACCTTGTCTTTGTAAAATGTAAATAATTCAATATGACTTCTTTCTAAACAATTTATTTGATCGGTTATATCAAAGTTTTCTTTGACAAGAGTTGGAAAGTTATTTTCATATTGCTTTAACTGTGAAGAGTTCCTGTACTTATCATGTTTCACATATGAACTACAAAATCTAACATGGATTATTATTGTCATATTTTATGTTCAACAATAAGACTGGGAATAAATGTAGCTTTAAAAGCATTTAACAAAATAGATACATGTGAAATACTTATAAACAGAAATGTCAGCGAATAGACTATGTGTATATACATATACAGTGAGTCACCGGACAGTGACCTTCAGCGCAGTTGTTACAGCACCACTGTAAAAAGCCTGGAATATTTGAATATGGCTCTAGTGCCAAACATGCCATACTTGACGAGCATATTTCAAAGTCATCACCGTTTGTTGTTGTTGTTGTTGGAGATTCCGTTGTTTCCATCTCCGTTGCTGTTGGTGTCGTTGTTGTTGTTCCTTCTTCCATTAAACTTTTGAAAATAAATAAATCAATTTCAATATTAAATAGTGCCTTACAGGAATATGAACTGGTTTCAATTAAATTTTCCAAAATGATCAGCAAAATATAATTACATTTTGATAAACAAACGGCGACCAAATTTTCAAAACGCTTATAAAATCTCTAAAATGGAAATCCATTTGGAAAATATAATTTAAGGTTTATATTTTTACATCACCTTGATAACAAGAATTTCTTTAATTTCTTTTGTCTAATTCTGTATATATTGCCATGATGTAGATATACGCTTGTCTCTTACCTAGTTGACGAAGCAGACGATATTACGGTTGTCGATGACGTCAGCGCTGTCATAGTAGCTGATTGGCTGACACTGGAACTACTTTCAGTCGGAGCAGTTTCGGTTCCTTCGTCGTTTATTCGGATATCAGCGCAATTCACGAAATTTTCCTGAGGACCACGACCAAAACCACATCCTTCGGAATCGCAATTCCAGCTATTTCCTGTTTAATAATATATAGACAGAAATGGAAATGAGTTTCAAATGAACATAGCATGTGGATGTACAGTTTCTTTCAAAAATATAGTTCACATAATTACGGTTAGGAAATTGACTAATTACTGTTTTTCTTTACTAGGTCCTCGTTCAGTTTATGTATTTCTTATTGTAAATACGTTTACTGTACCTATTGATAACTTCCCATTTTGTGAAAATAAAACAAATGAAAGTTTAAAGGTTTATGCTACAGTTACAAAGACATGGAGGCAGATTGAAAACTGTATTATAAAATGTTTACATCTGTTACAACACTGCACCTTGACTGCTGGAACCGATAGGAATTTTCCAGTAGAGAGATATGTACATCCGTGCTAGCTGAACCGGCTCTGTACTTATGGCCGATTAACTCTTGATATTCCCAGATAGAAAGACAGTTCTCAAACAGAATAGAAGCTTGAAAAGTGCATTTTGAAAATTCAGCATATTGAGATTTGGCTAATGTACTGTCTTACAAGTGTCAGCATTGTCGGATGCTAAAGTTTGATGTATTTACTATTGCAGCCTATCTTCAATATGTCTTTACTTATACTAGTAGGATAAGTCGAATAAAGAAATTAAATGCGTTCTTTGACAGAGATGCCCAGGGGGTTAATACTTGCAAACAAAGTGTGAAATATATTCTCTATATATTTAATGTTTATAAAACGTTTATGAATCGTTAATGTTTTGCAAAGATATAATTATTCTATTATATACATAGAATAAAACGTGGAAAAGCTGTAAATTCAGAATTTGATACATTTAAAAATTCATAACGCACTTAAGAGGACGAAAACTGAAAACCCGATTGGTTTGCATTACGATTGTTGTCTATAAACCAATTAAAAAAATATCTGTAAACATAAGCCTCCTTATTATAAAACGTAAGGAAATGGCATATTTAAAACTCTGCCTTTTAATATAAAGGATGGACAACTATTTGTCCACTTTCTAGCTAGAGAAGGGGAATCCTGTATGTGGCCGCACGGTCACTTTCCTTACAACATGTCCTCGATGCATGTATGTGGTCGCATGGTCGAAATAAAATGGTAAGAAAATGGCAACGTTTAAAAACTGTTTTGGTACCGAACTGTCCGTGAAATAGTCTTTAAATAAAAAAAAAACTTTCAGCTCATAATAAGGAGATTTAAAGGCTTATTCGGGCTTTGTTACTTTAGTTAAGAAAGATTTTTTTTTCACTTTTATCTTGGAGTTATTAAAGTCTAATTACGACTTTGATACTCATAAATAGGAGAGATAAAAACCCTTCCAGCTTGTTACTTACTAGTTACAAGTAATTAGGACTAAGAATTAGGAGAATTAATAAAAACCTTATTACCACTTGTAGCCCTTAACAAGGAATGTTTAAAGCCTTATAAGGAGAAAAAATATTTTAGGAGTTGTGAAATTAATAAGGATTCATTTTGAGGACCATACATACAAAAGCCTAAATATAAAAAACTAATTTGAACTTTGTTGCTTTTAATCAGATTTTTATACAAAAAAATAAGTTCACCTTATTAGTCATGCAAACTTCTGATTCAACAAAGTATTATATTTTGTATCAACCACCATCAATGTGGGTTGTGATTTAATGTTTTGCATCAGAAATTTGTAATGTACCTGTATTGTATTTCCACTGAAGAACGCATCTTTCACACGTAATAGTGGATGGTAACTGAAGATTTATCATATAAACTCCCGGCCCTAAACCGGTCTTGATTTCTTCTAACTGTATTCGTGTCGTGTTTGTACCTTCAACCGTCAAAACATTCTGATTCAAACATTCTTGTGTGACCTTTGTTGTTGTTGTTGCGAGAGGGCAAAGTCTGTGAAATATAAATCAACATAAACAGAAAATATGAAAGTCCTTGTGACTCTGTGATTGTCTCTGCGTGACATCAGCAATTTTTTACACAATAAGCGTTAAAATGACACTGATTCTGTTATTCTTAGTTTTTTGACGCTTATTTGATTTTTCTTTATACGGAAATTGACGATTACGTCGAATTTCAACGAATCTTGATTGGTCTCATAACTTTATTAAAAAATGATTTGATTGACATAGGTAGAGTCTATTTTTCTCCTGCAAATGTATAATAATAGAGTTAATCATATCGAAAAAGCAAAAGTTAGAAAGGCCGACAACAAAGGACGTGTACTTGGAAGATAACACGTTTCTTATTTGTCAAATACTTTAAATTAAAATTGTATATAACCTAAATTCAAACCATCCTTTGTGATAAGCCGTTAATTCTACTTCCGTATTAACGACTCCACCTTTGACGTAACTTCCTGTGATGACGCCATTAACGACGTATAAACCGTTTACGTCTTCGTTTGGCTTTACTTGTGCATTATAAGGGTCACCACATACACCACATCTACCATTATTTTGGTTCCACTGTACCTGAGAGAAAAAATGCAGGCAATTTGTCGAACAGATTCTGTAAAGGATATGCTACAATCTTTTGAATGAAAATAATAATGATAATTATGAGTATGATGAACATGATAATGATGAATATGATGAACATGATGATGACGACGACGACGACGAACCACAAGTACAAGTGTACGATTCCGCTAAAGTCAGTTTTGTACTCAGAGCGCCAAATATCAAGGAGATAATGCATTACATTGGTGATACACTAAAAGTATTGTTTTAAAGTTAAAATAAAAATACAGAACAGAACATTTACTTTATTTCTGACTAATTATGACCTATCATCATAATATATATATATGTTTATTTATGACAATGCATGCATCAAGAAATCATGTCATAATAAATTCAATCAGTGATATTCACATTTATAAACTACATACCTAACATGACATAGTTAAACAAGTTGATTGAGAATTACTACATTAATAATATCATATTAATATGCTATTTTACTAAATTGTCTCGTCTATACAAAATATTGGTAGATACAGCTAGAGTGGTGATATTATACACGTTAGCGGCTCGAATACGTAAGAGAGATAACTCGTATAAGAATGAATAACGGAGTTATTTTTAGATATGGATATTTTTTCATCTCTGGTCTTGGACAAATATATATTGATGCTATATTGATTATATATTATACAATTATTGACTAGTGAGCCATTGAATATTATGTGATATTTACCGGCAGATGACATATTGAGCGAGGCGATAGCCGAGGTCAATATGACTTTCTGCCGGTGAATATCACATCATATTCAATGGTTCACTAGTCAATAATTGTTTTATTATATGAATAGGCTAAGAAATTAAAAAAAAAAAGTACAACCTTATAATTATACATGTACAAATTTTGCCTCGTTGAAGCGCGAGAAAAAAGATGCACGTGTTAAGCGTGCAACGACTACGTGAACGCTGCGCATACAAAAATAATTCAAGTGTATACTCATCATTGCGGTTTTACCTTTAAGTATAATAGTAAAGTATTGATATTTTAATCGAGAAATATGCCATAAAGAACAAAAAGCAACAATTATTTTTTAATCAACACGCGTAATTAACAGTCTACGGTGTATGATCATTGAATATGAGTCTCAATCTATCTTTAGACTGGGAAAATCCAATTCAGCCAGTGAATATATACTACACCCAGTAAATATGATTTTATAAAAAGTTCTGTTGACTACTGTTTGGACCAATGAGATTGCAGCTACGTATATTTAGATCATATAATAAAACATTATATTGGTAGATCGTGTGGTCAGTGGTAAAGTTACATTTTTACAAGATGTTAAATAAAGATTTAAGTATTTGCAACCTTGGAACCAAGCTCGCGAAACATACATAAACATGCATGTGTTTTTGATTTTTTTTTTGATTTTTGTTTTTGTGCACATTTTCAAATTTCAAATTTTCAATATCATCTTAAAAATTGATTCAGCTTTCTTATATAAAATATCCATGTAGTGGGGTTCACAGAAAAACAAATTTTGTTTTTATAAGTTTTTTCTATTAACTTTTAAGAATAAAACCTGTAATGAAATAAAATAACAACAAGACAACACAATACAATATGTATATATATATATATATATAGAAATGAGAGAATATATACACACATACCACCACATTGATATGCCAGTCCAATTACGGCACAGCGCCTAGCAGAACAGTCATGAAAGCATAGCCACAGCTCATCCACCATCACAAAAATGATGGTTTCAGAACAGCTTTATATACAGTCACAAACTGCACTACACATTGAAACAAGCTCAACATTCACATATATAGAGTTTGTTCTCTGTTATCATATCTCACAAATCAACGATGACATTTTTATTGTCTTCTTCACTGATTGGGACCAGAGAACTATATATCTATTTCCGAAAGTCAACTGGATCACGTAAGATCAAGTAGATCCGTAGGATACAATGAATTTAGACAGATAAAGTATATATAAAGGGAGATAATTAAATTCAATACAGTTATATTTTCCCCTGCGTGGGATCACTTTAGATACAAGTGTGCAGATAACTTGATAGAAATGAGAGAATATATACACACATACCACCACATCTATATGCCAGTCCAATAACAGCACAGCGCCTAGCAGAACAGTCATGAAAGCATAGCCACTGCTCATCCACCATCACAAAAATGATGGTTTCAGAACAGCTTTATATACAGTCACAAACTGCACTACACATTGAAACAAGCTCAACATTCACATATATAGAGTTTGTTCTCTGTTATCATATCTCACAAATCAACGATGACATTTTTATTGTCTTCTTCACTGATTGGGACCAGAGAACTATATATCTATTTCCGAAAAGCAACTGGATCACGTAAGATCAAGTAGATCCGTAGGATACAATGAATTTAGACAGATAAAGTATATATAAAGGGAGATAATTAAATTCAATACAGTTATATTTTCCCCTGCGTGGGATCACTTTAGATACAAGTGTGCAGATAAATTGATAGAAATGAGAGAATATATACACACATACCACCACATCGATATGCCAGTCCAATTACGGCACATATACACATATATTGGTTGGAGTCAAATATTTCTCATACATCAATAAATGTGCATATTTTTAAACTGCAATTATACTTGATAAAATAAAAAAGGAACCTTGATCGTATGATAACTTAATGTGCTTCCGGGTAAGTAGATCGCATCTCATTGGCTACACTTTAGACATTGAAAGCTAGATGGATTTTAAACCATAAATCTTTGTAAATTATTTAATCTGAGATGAAAAATTACCAGACGATATAATCTGTATTTCATAGTTAACATAAAGCCATGGAAGACAGTCACGTATCTTACTTTCCTTTATTCAAGGCGAAACCCATAATAATAATAAAATAGATTAGCAAATTGGTATACATCGTAGCATGTAGGCTTCGATAACTAATTTAGTCGTTATACTTGTATTTTCTGAAAGAAAGAAAGAAAGAAAGAAAGAAAGATTGAAAGAAAGAAAGAAAGAATAGAAAGAAAGAAAGAAAGAAAGAAAGAAAGAAAGAAAGAAAGAAAGAAAGAAAGAAAGAAAGAGAGAGAGACCTCACAGTATCTCACAGAACATAAATGCTCCAAAATATGTTTTACGAGTACTGCGGACAGAATGCGACAGCGACATCGGAGTTATACGTCACTACCCGAAATAAGTCGAAATTAATCGATTCATGATGTACTTGGGTCTGTTAGCGTTATCTGTGGACTACTAGATTATAAAGGCGGATATAGGTAGGATGAAACTGTTCATAATATTTTGTTATTTTAATGCTATTCCTTTATTAAAAGATAGGTTTTAAAAGCAATTTAAGGGTAGATTTGTAACTCCCCTGTGTTAGGGTCGTATTTCAAACAGACAGACATCATGTGACCGTCCGTTTAATGTTACGGACAATAACCACACCTTACGGACAATGACGGCGGTTAGACCTGATTCATTTTTATGTGACAATCGTAATAAAGTTTCCTTTTAAAAGGAAAAGCTTGCACAGTTGTGCTTTCATCCCAACCCTTTAAAATTGTGTGTTTTTTTGGTTTCAATTTATTATCACATTTTTTTTTGAATTACGGTATTTGTATATCATAAAGGGTTTATTTAGTTGTTTTTTTTTTGTTTTTTTTTGGAAAACCGAATATTTTTTGTCAAAACGATTTGAAATCTATTCTCTATTGTATAAAACTAATAAAGAAAATGATCAATCGTAAAAATACTAACGTGATACTGAAGGAAAACAAGTGTGCACATTTCATTTCCCCTTTTTCGCAGCGAAATCATTCCTTTGCTTTATAGACAAGTAAATGCACTAAAATACTTCGTTACGTGGTACCAATCAATAAGCATGTATCAACTATGTTACACGATCACAAATAGACGATATCAGCACCAAACTCCTCACAGCTGTTACGTCACGCTTTGCTACTTTAACTGTACAGATCAGGGAAAGTAACCGCTGCGAGGAGTGGGAAGGTTAATGATATGCATGGGCTATTTTTAGATTACCTCACCAAGAAGTTCAGTATATCTAAATATAACTCGATCATGAATGCGTGATTTGGTAAGCAGGACCACCCTTTAAAGACGGAATACTAAGTACTACAGTGTATAAAACTAATACAGACAAAAAACAATTATAAAAGAAACTAACTTTTGCGTCTTGAAAAACAATTAAAACGGAACAATTTCGTTTATAATTTATTACGGTTTAAACCGATAAATCAAGTAAAAATAGAAATCCTATTTATATAAACAAACTGGGATTACCGAAGTAACTAAAATAGCTTAGATTTCCGTAATATTACTTCGTCTGATTCCGCAGTATGACGGAATCGCCCGAATTGTCACGATTGCAATCGGAACTACATCGGCTATTATCATTAATCCGAAGAGTGACGGAAAAGGCCGAAAAAATGCGATTGGCACGATTGCAGCCTGTTCCCCGTTCAATCATGCACCAACAGATGTAAGCAGGAAACCACCTAACCGGAACAAGTTTTCCATATGAAATAAAGCCAAAAAGGAGTAAGGGAAATAAATGTCAATAATTTAACAACAAAAATCGGGTTCTTATATAAGATAAAAATAATGAGTTTTTAGTGAATAAAGGCCAAGTGGCCTAAAGTCACTGTTCCTAAAATATTTTATGGAATCATATGAGACACATGATGCGCAATATAAATATATGTTGTCAAGTGTATCATCCAAAGATATGATCGAATCTAACAGTTCATTTTAATAAAGGGAGGTAATGAGTTATATTTTTTTTTTATAAAGGATTGGCCACATTCCAAATCAATTAAAAATTACGTATTAGTTTTGGTAAAGTCAGTAAGTGAACATTACAGAGTTTCATTTTAGTAGCTTCGATTAATGTGTGCGATGGCGCCTGATCTAAATTTTTCATTTATATTACCATTTCAATATAAATTATATACTTACTTTTGGTGCTTTACGTAACGATTCAATCGGTTTTAGAAATATTTCAACAAAACTTTTAGAGTTTTAGTAGGACCTTTAGTTGAATTTTGGTAGAAGATAAGTAGGACATTTAGTAGATTTTTAGGACTTCAGTAGGACTTTTGTAGGACTTTTAGTACGATTTTAGTAAAACAATTAGAACAATTTTAGGAAGACGAAGACGAATAGTAGGATATTGTGTTGAATTTTACTAGGACGTTAAGTTTAACATTATAATATTATTTTAATAGGACGTATTATATAGGGTATTGGAAGACGTTGCTTTTGAACATTTTTTTCATTTTATAAAACGTATACTTTTCTGTATAGTTAACTTTTTAAAAGATTACTTACATCAAAACCACCACAGAACAGTTCGTTATCGTTGTAATTTTCCGGGTTATTGTATCCATACCTCCAAGCAGACGACCTCTGTGCCGGTTGAATCAAGCGTCCGTGTGATGCCACGTGCCCTGTCTGAGATAAAATGACCGCCATTCCTATCCAAAATATTTGTCGAGAAAGCATTTCAAAAGTTATTTCAATAATAAAACGTAACTGTTTCAAGAAAATATATTAGATCTGTCAAATAGGTTTTTTCTCTGGCGTTCACATAAATTATGTTGTTTGCTCCGTGTATTCCTTTTGTATATACGTTTTATAATTGTGTTCTGCGTCTTAAAAAGATAATAATTATAACGATCACACGATGCTGATGTTGGTTAACAAAATTAACGTATCAAAGTAAAATATTGCAGGACGCAGATTGTCTGATTGGGTCGCGGGTTAGCGAACCATTTTATACGCCGAAATAACGTGACATAATCGCGCTCTGTAAGAAATACTACCCCACATCCCACACAACAATGGCATTATATTACATTACACACCCTCGCTTTCTATGTAAATTTAATTCTATCTCAGCTTTTTTCTTTCTTTTTTTCTTTATGTCTGTTTTCCAAAGGTGTCCACCTTAAATATGTTAAAAATTACTTATATCGTTCCTTCCGGATATTTTTGTACCTTATCTTGAGGTCGTCTGAAGGGAAGATTATTAGTACTGCAATCAAGGTCCAAAGGAAAGATCATTACTAGTGTAATAAAGGTCTGAAAGAGAGGTCATTACAACTGTATTGAAGGTCTGAAGGAGAAATATTACTTTTTGTAATGTGTTTATGAAGGAAAAAAAGTTGGAAGGAAAGATTATTACTTCTGTAATGAAGATCCAAAGGAAATACCAATACTACTATATTAAAGGTCTGAAGGATAGATCATTATTATTGTAATGAAGGTCGGAAGGAAAGAGCATTACAAGTTTAATGAAGGTCGGAAGGAAAGATCATTACTATTTTAATGAAGGTCGGGAGGAAAAATCATTATTATTGTAATGAATGTCGGAAGGAAAGATCATTATTATTGTAATGAAAGTCGGAAGGAAAGAGCATTATTATTGTAATGAAGGTCGGAAGGAAAGAGCATTACTATTGTAATAAACGTCGGAAGGAAAGAGCATTATTATTGTAATGAAGGTCAGAAGGAAAGAGCATTATTATTGTAATGAAGGTCGGAAGGAAAGAGCATTATTATTGTAATTAACGTCGGAAGGAAAGAGCATTATTATTGTAATGAAGGTCGGAAGGAAAGAGCATTATTATTTTAATGAAGGTCGGAAGGAAAGAGCATTATTATTGTAATGAAAGTCGGAAGGAAAGATCATTATTATTGTAATGAAAGTCGGAAGGAAAGAGCATTATTATTGTAATGAAGGTCGGAAGGAAAGAGCATTATTATTGTAATTAACGTCGGAAGGAAAGAGCATTATTATTGTCATGAAGGTCGGAAGGAAAGAGCATTATTATTTTAATGAAGGTCGGAAGGAAAGAGCATTATTATTTTAATGAAGGTCGGAAGGAAAGAGCATTATTATTGTAATGAAGGTCTGAAGGAAAAATCATTTCTACTGTAATGAAGGTCCGAAGGAAAGATCATTATTATTGCAATGAAGATATGAAAAACAGATCAGTATTACTGTATTAAAATATTGGTTAACACATATTTTATTCGTCATATGTTAGACACATATAATGTATAAATATAAATTAAATATTTAAAGAAAATTATGTTGATGACTTTGGATAGAAAGAAAAATGAGATAGGAAAGAATGAAAAATAAATAAATTAAAAAATTAACAGAAAAAAAGGTTCTGTGAGTTATTCCTTAATGAAAGCTGATTTCTTCTGGCGGGTCAAAGCGATTCGATTTTTCAATATATTTGTGAACTGCAAGACATAATTTCTCAATAACCGAGTCTATGTAAGCGACGACTGTAGCCGTTTTATTTTTGTTAATTTGCTTATGTATCAAGTATTTATTAGTTTATTAGTTAGTTATAAGTTTTATGTCATGTATCGTCTATCTAACCAGGCGTTGGTTTATTCAGATAGAGGCTATGTCACTGCGGTATACCGTACCCCGGATATTGCTCAATATTATGAGGACTTTCATCCCATTTCGAGACTTTGAACGGGGAACGAAGGTAAGTTCAGCAACGATTTTTTCCAAACTAATGGCTATTTCATTTATCTAAACGGGTTTTATATATCTAGAGGTATTTTTGTAGCTCTAAAAGACATAAAAGTATTACAGGTATTTGTGAAATTGATTAAACTACCCCTAAACGATCCGCTGCTCACTAGAAAATACTGACCGCGATACTGTAAAATCGTTAGAAATTATTTTATAACCAATTTTAAAAAAAATTGAATCGAGCATTTTTTTTATTCACAATCCAAGTATGCTTTGTCCAAATTTCAGGCAAAAAGTGTGAAAGTACAAAAAGATACAGGCCAAAAAAGATACAAGAAAGTGTACCGAGTATTGATTTTAAGTGTACAGAGTATTGCAAAATAGCCCAATTTAAGTGTACAGTGTATTGCAAAACAGAATGAGCACATTAGTATGGAAAATCGATATTTTTGTCTATTATTTTTGTCTATTTTTACGTCTGTTTATCGATTCCATCTTATTTTGCTGATAATGTACTGTTGATATGATATTTATTCAAATATTTCAGATTCAACAATGCATTTTCAGTGTTATAACTGTTCTTTTTCTACGGGCAAATACAGAGATTTAATTTCCAATTTGATTGAAAGTCACACTGTGGGTGAAATAAAATGTGTGCAGGGTCGCAAGCAGGGTCGGGAGCAGGTAGAACCATCAAAATCTTTAAATACATGTCTCAAGAAAATGTGTTTCTGAAAAGAAGAAGAATACAAACAAATTTTGATGACATTAATAATAGGTTTTTACAGGGCAAGTTTGCCTTAAGAAACATATCGACACACTTAGTAAAATATTGGCCCGCGGGCTTATACCGTCCAAGTATGCCGGTATCGGAGGATATTGCGAAAAATGGCTGTTTTCATTGAATTAAGCCTCCTGTTACAAGTTCAAACTGCTATGAAACTATAAAAAAAATGCTTCAATACTGATCAAGCTCGGCACAAATGTTGGCTGGACCATAGCCTGTGGAATAGCATGCTCAATTTCAAATTTCCAGTTACCATGGCAACGGGAGGACGTCTCAAAATTGCAAAAAAAATCTCTATTTTGCGTTGTTTTCTTTTCCCGTAAAAACTGATTTCAAGTGCAGCAACTTCTCAATTGATTGAGATAAAGTTTAAGGCTTTTCGGCGTTGAATACACGGCATCTTTAAATCGATCTGAGGCCATTATACCCCCGCCCCCACAAGTCCCAAATCTCGGCGATCAGAGGGGCTACTGCCCCACTTCAAACCCCCTAACAGAAGGGGCACATCCCCCCTGTGGTACCCCTTGATGTACCTCTTTATTGGGGTTTTACACTATTTGAGGCCTCAAAAGGGTGTGGTGTGAAGCCTTCAAAACACGCCTTTATGAAGTGAAAGGTTATAAGGAACATAACCTTTTTATTGCATCTGCTGTCCTTAATCATAATCTTATTAAAATCCATTATTCGGTTTTAGAGCTGTACATACGGTAACTCGTTGCTAATGACGTAACAATTTTCACGTGCAGACGGTCTGCCGTTGCTAGAGTGCAGGTGCAAAATGACCGAAATTTACCTTTATATGGATTTTTGGCATAGTAGGAAGTCGGTTTATATTAGATATTGGCACCATGTCACGGTTCAGAACTGTTCATTATTTCGGGGTGATAATGTGTAAGCGGCGGGATAGCTCAGTCGGTAGATCTCGAGCCGCGGTACGGTATTCCGATGGTCCCGGGAATTAGTGAACAGTTTTGAACCGTGACACACTTCCTCAATACCGTCTACTATTGACAATCTTGAGGCAGCATACATGCACTTTGGATGCATTTTTTTACTATTTAAAGTAAGATATGCAATAATTATTAACAAAGTCTGGAAAGGTTGTTCCTTCGATAGCAACGAGAACCTTTTAAACACAGAAAATTGCTGGGTACGTTTGACTGAGATTTTTCATCAGCAGAAAATCTGGATTATTTGCAGATGTTTCCAGTAAAGTACCTCCGAACTCTGCCTATTCTGCACATATAGTGTAAATAAGTATACACAATAAGATATATTTAAGATTAAATGTGGTAAACACTCTGTGTTTACTACTTGTATTTACTCGATATTAATAACCAATACTCGTTACACTAAAGGCAATACTCGTGACACCGGCGGGCAACTCCAACGCAATACTCGGTACACTGACAGGTGTATTTATTCTCAAAATGCACTGTCATCTGAGGTTCTATTGTTGATTGAACATTTAAAACATATACATTATCATCATTAACACATTTCACTCGATTCAAGTTTTTCTTTTAAGGAAGTATATGCAGAAAAACATCAAATTTAACTGATCCGAGCTCATTTATCACGTGAGCAAAGAGACAAATTATACTCTTTATTACATTTCAAAGCTATTTCTCAACATTTTTGGGGTTTCAGTAACTAGAGAAATTATCGAAGTATTTGAATTGCTATAAAATTTATATCAAACCAATTCAAAATGACTTAATATCGTCAATGAACTTACCTTCTTTCCTCGTTCAAAGTCGCGAAATGGGATGAAAGTCCTCATTATATCGAGCAATATCCGGGGTACGGTATACCGCAGTGTATGTTAAATGAATGAATTGATTAACGGTATTGAGGGCAGTTTAGGTAAAATAAATTTTTAGAAAATTTAAAATTTAGACATTCTAATAGGTCAACAAGTATGGCAAAGACTAAATTAAGTGTAATACAAGTAAAATTCATTTCAAATTTCAAAACTATTTCATTTATTTTATTTTTTCATTTAGTTATCTACTTACATGTATTTATCTATCTATTTATTTATTTATCTATTTATTTATTTTTTTATTTATTTTTTTTTTCAAAGAATATACCGATTTGATCAATTTTACCAACTTCACGGACATTTATTTAACCCCTCTTGTTAACAGTTGGCCACCTTAAAATGTTTTTTAGCATTTTTTTCCCAAGTTCATAATTAACTCTGCATTTGAATTAAGATTTAATAAAGATCATTATATAATACGGATAGTCACACATCATTATTTTTTAATTTCATACGCAAAAAACGTAATTCAGTACGATCCCACGCGAAGTCATGACCCGTACATAATAAAGGATCACGTTATATAAAAATAACTTTATTGTTTGATGACTGATTCACACTCTTGTCCCATGTAACTATATCTCTTCCTGATAGAAAATACAACAATTAAAACTTTTTTTAAACCTT